AAAACCAGGACTACTGAGCAGCCGTCGAGATAAACCAACTCTTTCATCTCCTGTCTCACACCCAGGGGTTGCCTGTCTTGGAGCAAGTGCTGCGTGACAGGGTGTAGGTGCAGGTACATTGACGTGACTCAGGCTCTCAGAACAGCATGTGCAACACAGCTGAGAGAAGGGGAAAATACCAGGCAGCGAGTGCACTGCTGCCTAACAGGGGCTGGCATTCCCTGAAGCCTGCTGAGGAACAACACAACACCCCAAGCAGCTGACAGCCCAAAGCTTTGATCAATACTTGATTCTTGGGGCTGTCTTGTGCCAGGTCAGGAGCTGATGCTCATTGTGGGTCCCTTCCAACTCAGGATATTCTGATTCTATGAATACATATCTGATTCTCCTCAAGCAGTCCTTTCTGCTTCCCAATCATACCTTTGCAGACAAGTGGAGCAACAAATGGAAATGAAGCAATTCCTCTGCCTCAAAATCAATACACAGGGGGTGAAGGGTGCAGGTCTCCTGCTTCTTCTGTCTGGGGAGAGGATGCTGGAGTCCTGTGCAGGACTGGCAGTACAGGGCCAGCAGTGATCACTTCTATGATCCAGCAGAAAATGGTTGTGGGGAAACCCCAGTCATTGTGGTCCTCCGTGACTTCTCATCGTCATGGCTCTGTACTCCTGGCACTCTCTCCTGCCTGGACTGATGCCTGCAGGCACTGGGAACACCATGTACCTTATCATGGAATCACAAAATAGTTTGGATTGGAAGGGACCTTAAAGATCCTTTTTTCACCATCCCTGCCACAGGCAAGGAATTTTCCACTAGACAAGGTTGCTCCAAGCTGTGTCTGACCTGGCCTTGAACGCTTCAGGAATGGGGGTTCCAGTGTCTCACCACCCTCCTCTCCCCAGGGGAGACCTGGATGTTGGGCAGAGCATTTCTGATGGGTCTCTTCTTGCTGGAGATGTGGGAACACCTAAGCCACACAGCATCATGGACCTGTCCCGTGCATGCATGAGATGAGACGCAGCATCTCTGGTTCTCCAAGCCAAAAGAACCAAAAAGCTGTGTCTAGGATTTGTCAGACACCAAGCTGTGTTAGGGGCTTACAGGAACTCTGTGCCATCAGCCAGCACATGCAGCCCCCAGACTCCCATTATTCTCATCACAGGGCTGAAGAGGCAGAGAGAACAGCTGGGACATTTCCCCTTCTTGTACAAGGATTAAAAGCCCTGTAGGGCCAGGGGGGGAAAAAACCCAAGGACTATCACATGGACATCTGTCCTTCAGTAAAATGCAAATCTTGTAAGTGGAGGAAAATAAAGAGTCCAGTGGGTTCAAACAGGAATGGAACTGATAAAGGCAATGCAAACATTTGATTACAAGTTGAGGTTAGGGCTCCTCATTCAGCCTTGGTACAAAAAAGTCATCAGCAAAAATACCAAAGGTGTGGGAATAAATCAGGCAGAAAACTCAGACTTAAAATCAAATTTATTTAGAGGAAGAATGACTTTACAAGAGGTTGATACTGATAACTAAAAAGGAAGATAAATAAAAGCTTGTTACAAAACCTAATGGTTTCTGGCAAGTTACAGAAAAACTGAAGAATTTTACAGTCAATAACCTGCTCACTTTTTACATAATTACAAATTAACATACAGCAATTAGGTTTTACCCTCTTCTTTAAAAATCTTTTTTTCCCAACTTTTTTTTTCTTTTTGGGTTCAACATGAAAATGCAAAGCTTTTTTTTTTTTTTTTTTTTTTTTTTCTTTTTTTTTTTTTTAATAAGAAACAAACCAAAAGCAGAGGTATATCAGGTTATTATAATACACCTCAATGTTCTGAGAATTACTCAAGTGCATTCCATATTAGTACAAAATAAACACCAGGCTAAACTTTAACCATAGGCGAACTGAACCGGACATAGATTTTTATTTCTTTTTTTTTTTGAATCAGTGTTTAATATTGATAAAGAAAATAGTAAGATTACCTTAGAGCATGGAAAGGATGGATACCTACAGACAGCTTAAATACATACAAAGCTCATAGCTGTATGCAAAGCAGTGAATGTTATCCTGTTCCCCCCTCCCCCCAAGCAATGGAAGCTGAATTATACTTGTGCAAAGCATCAGTGTCAGTGAAATGCATGTGGAAGGAAAGGGCACAGAGCCCTGGAAATGCAGGTGTAAAGGGAGCTGGTGTTACACTTCTCATGACTGAAGAGCACAAGGTATAGGAGATTTGGCCAGTTCAGTTCGCCTATATTTAAAAATTAGCTTTATCACCAATGAAGAATGGTGGATTGCTGCCTCTTCTGAGAAATGAAGCAAGAGTTATGAGCAGCAGGGGAGGTTTTTTATTTAAAAGGGTGCCCTAAATCATGGTAAGTTCCCAAACCTGGCCAGCAGGCAAAATAATTTCCAGAGTTCTGGTTAACAAGGAATGTTTTGTGGGATTTTAGCAGATACTCTCCTGTGTCCCCTGCCCAGTCCTCCCTTGCTCCATGCCATAGATACCCTAGACAGCTTCCTTGGGATTTGGCACCTGAAGAACCTCTTCTGACTAGGTGGCACATGGAAGGACTGGAACTGGGTGTTACAGCAACAGCTGTGAGATATCCTAGGGACTCAAGGAAGGTGCAGTGGTGATCAGACTCTGGATGCAAATCCACACAAGCTGATGGCATTACTGTGCTGTCAGCATACCTCCAGCAGGAAGAGTCCACCCTCAGTGGGGATGACAGCTCCTGTTCCAGGGAGGGCACCTGGAGATGTCCCAGTGGCCTGGCAGTAAATACCTTGGTGCATGGAAAGGGCCTGATTTATTTGGATGCATCCCCTCACATCTCCTTCACTCTGAGTTTCTCCAAGGAAAAGGAGATGTAAGGAAAACCACAGGCAGGGCTGCTTCCCTAGCTGCTGTGAGGAAGGTGATGGTGAAACTGACATGGGCTCTCCTGGGGGATGTACCTGAGCCAACAGAAGCCAGTTCTCTTCTCCTGCCACTTAACCTATCTGCAGTGGGACTGTAGTCAGGTCTGCACCCACTCTGGTCTAAGAACAATACAAAAAGCTTGGCCCTTCCTCCCCTCTCAGGGAAAAGCCAAACCAAACCAGGAGCACACCTACTTGAAGCTCTGATTTTGCTGGGAAGTGCAGGAAGTAATGGCAAAACTGATTGTCTCCAAATAACCATAATTAAAAGGGGCAAGACCAGTTCCATTTAAAGTGCTTTATGACATCAAACTGACATCAAGTTACATGTTGAGATGATCACTTCATTTAAAAGAATCTAAAGCCAAGCCCACAAAACCCCATCGAGTCTCCCACCCTTTGCTACAGCTACTCTGCTGCTGGGTATTCCGGCACCTCCAGCTAATACTGGCCACTTCTGTACTTGTCTGAGCCCACACTCTCACTTTCCCTGGACACTGAAACCCCTCCTGCTGGGCAGTGGCAAAGACCAGGCCAAGAAAATCAAATGTGATTTCTGCCCTCCATGAAGCACCAGCACAAACAGCTCCGAGAGTCCTCGCAGGATCCTCTTCCACAACAACATGGGCTTCAAACAGATGTTTCTGAACCTGCTCTGAGTCCCAGGAGCCCAATACAAACAGGCTGGTTTGGGTGCTCCAAATGGGATCAAGGGACTGGCTCTTGGAACTAGCAACAGGCTGGGCTGAAGAAATAACATGCTTTCAACAAGGATGGATGCCAGGCATGGAACTGGAGCAAATGCAATTTTAAGGCCAGGAAGAGGAAAGGCTTTGGTGCTGTCAAGCTGGGACCATACTCTAGCAGACAATGCTAGACAAGCTTCAGAGATCAGAGCAGGAATCTGACTCTAGGAACCCATGCCAAGCCTTTCCAAAGAAAACCTGAGATGGGAAAAATAAAAGGCTAAAGAGATAAAAACAAGCCCTTACCTTCCTAAAGGTGAAAGAAGGAGGAAGCAGTGTGGGAGGAAAGGCTTCATTCCAAAAAAGTGAATCATACAGTAACAGACATCCTCCAGGGACAAATGTCTGTCCACCAGAATTTAAGACACAAACAGCTTTGATACACAGGATCTCTGGTCAGTGTATTTCTGACTCATACCTGTGGTTTCTGTCAAGGAACCACAGGGACCTTGGGAGAGGACTTAGCCAACAGCATTTGCACTTCAGGCACTGAATGCTCTTTTGGATTTGCACAGGTCATGAGAGATGGTGAAGCCAGGCAGACTCAATCCTGCTGCCCTGGGTCACACATCTGCCTTTTGGTGCCCTTCTCAGAGCCAGGGGATGTTGCTATGTTGTGAATATAGCATATGCTGGGACTGGGGAAAAGACAGTGGGATAAACTGGAAAGTTCATAGTGGCAAAGGCTGTTCCAGACTGAGGGGAGCTCAGATGTACCAGTGCCCTGATTCTGTTCACACAACAGTAAATGAGCCACACACTACTTTGGTTTCCAGAAATTTCAGCTTGGCACATTCGTGTTTGCAGATGTATAAACAGCAGGGCAGAAGTTACTTGCTGAAGTTGGTGGTTTTCTTATGACAAAGGTTAACACCACACCACCAGCACCTTCCCACTGTCTATCCCACTCCTTCAGCTCCCCTTGGGTCCAGGAGAGCAACTGTACCCTCCATCACTGCCGGGCACTCCATGTTTTGCTTTCTCCTTTGCCTCCAAAAGGAATGAGAAAACCTAACCAAAATGTTTAAATAAGGACACTAATTTACAGGAGGAGCCTTGTCTGAAGTCACTGTGTCTTTTTCCAGACATTTTTTGGCCTGAAGATGCTCTGCCTTGAAGAAAGCTCTCAGCTGAAATTGTGTGACTTAGGGCATGGAATGAGCTGCAAAGCAGCACTGCTCAACCCCGTGGTTTGTAGGAAACAGGGAGATGAGAACATTTGGTTTACCAATCTTTTGGTAAGAAAACAAAACAAATAAACAAAAAAAATGAGGGGGGGAAGAGAAAAAAAAACCTCAAACTATTCCCCCAACAAAAGCAAAAGTAAAAAGAAATAAAAAAATAAAACTAAGTAAACATTTTTTAAAAAATTCTTTCAGATAAAATGAAAGATAAATATTTTTGCAAGCCCTGCTTGCAATTAAGAACAAGCACCAAATAATATTAAAAAGAAACCAAAAATAAATCTCAACCCTTTTTCCTTTCTTTTTTTTTCTCTTTTTCTTCTGATTTTTAATAGTATAGAGAGCTTCCAAAGCAAGCAGGGTTCCTGCACCAAGACAGCCCAGCCTAAGCATCCACCTCACCATCAATGCTGCTGATATTCATCAGCACTAACTCTGAAAACTGCTGTGTGTCACCAACTCATGACAGGCCTGAGAGCAAACTGAAATCAAACAATAGTACAAGAAGAGAAATTATTTGTTATTTCAAAGAAAAAAACTGGTAGGAAAGGAAATGCACCTGACAGCTTCAAACTCTCGAGCAAAACTTTGATCTGTTTTGAAGTTGATAACCATTTACAAATCCACTCGGGTAATTCTCCTGACAGGGTTTGGAAGAAAGGTGATTTTTGAGAAAAGCCTCCATTTGCAGTTTTCCTCCCCCACTGAACACATCCCTGTATTCCACAACTCTACAGACACCCCACAGCTGGCACAGCAAGAGCTGCCCTTGGACCTTCCTGTTCTGCACGGAGCCTATGGGGACACGCCACACTGAACTCCAGACCTGGCCCACAGGGGGTTTTTGTCCACCAGAACCTTTTTCTCCCCAGAAATGGTTCCTAAGTGCCTGGTATTGCACAGCCACAGGGACAGGAGCCATCTCCTCGGAGCCTGCCCCGCGATGTCTCGCTGACCTGCTTGGACACTGCTGCTCTCACTCTGCCTCAGAAACGATCAGGGCAGGTGAGAAAATCCAGAGAAACAGAAGCCCAATGGTAGCACAAAAAGCAGGCTAAGAAAACTCAAAGAACAGAACAAAGATCCCTAAAAGCAGATTTTCAGCCACCCCCCCAGTCAGTCATTAGGCTTGTAATGTCAAATGGAGAGCTCTATTCCAGCAAAAACATAATCTTTGGGGATGGGAGAGAGTGAGCTGGAGCTCAAAGAGATTGTTTAAAAAAAGTGTTGATTACTGTTGTTTCCATTTGAACAGTTTGTTCTGGCTCCATGGGACTGCCTTACCAGCCTACCAAAATTCTCTTTTCGGTGCCATATTAAATATACCCAGTAATGTTCTGCTTGACTGTGGAAAAAGTTTGACGTTTGATTCCTCTGGCCCACAGAGTTAGTTCAGATTTATTTTAAATTTTAATTTTTATCCTCTCAGTTGTTGCTTCTGAATGCTGTTACTGCTTCCTGGTGTAAGATACCCTTCTGAAACCAAACAGCCCCTATCCCATGAGCACAAAAGGGGTGTGCAGGTCACTGTGTTACAGTCAGAGCAGTAAGGGCAAGATATTTAATATCTACACACTCCCAGAAAGTCCTCAGGTATCACCTATCCCCAGGGGTGGACCTCAGCGGTAGGGACTGTAAGCATATCCCAGTGGATACATAGATACATCTATGTATATATCCAGCAGATCTATATATGCCAGCGTGCACCATTTGTGAGTCCTAATCTTTGCTAAATGCTTGGTTTTGGTTCTTTTCCCCAGAAAAGGGGAATTGGAAGGCACAGACCCCTTAAGGCTATGTTCTCTCATCCTTTAGCAGTGAGACAGACAACATCTATCCCAATCCATTTGACACCAGGTTTGCACAGGGAGAGGGTCCTGTGTGCTGTGCAGGCACAGCCTCTGCAGGGAGAATTCACCTAAAACCACAGGAGAGAGGCCCTTATCCACCACTTAGCAGACTTCAGAACATGTTTTATTTAAAACCTCCAGATGCTTGTCCAGAGCAGGCACCAGCCACGTGCTGTGTCACAGGCAGGGAGGTGTCCACGGTGCCAATGCCACGAGTGACCACTGGAACAGTCCATGCTCAGCAGAAGATCTCCTCACCCTCTGGAGGTGCTTCTGACGAGTGAGAATCTGTAGCACCAAAAAACATCATGTGGGAATCACTATGGGAACACAGGAACACAGCAGGCAGAGTGGGGCTCCGTGTGCACAGAAACCCCACTGTCTGCCAAATCCACTGGGCCCCTTAAAAGATATTCAGTTCCCTGATGAGCTACCATGAAATTACATCTTGTATTGGGTGAGATTTCCTGTGCACAAGCTGGAAAACATCAGTGAGCTAGCATGAATGAAACCGGTCATCCGAGGGCATGTGATCAAATTTCACGTGGGTCAGAGGTTTGAGGTGCAGCTCTGAGTCCTAAGGGGATGAAAAACTGCCAGACAAGAAAAACCCTGTATGTTTTTGTTTCAGATCAAGAGACAAAACAGACCAGCTTGAGGGGAAGGGAGAGGCCACCAGAAGGCTTGTGGGTATCACTTCCAAACTGTCACAGAGCTAAAGCAGACATCAATGCCTCAGGAGCTGCAACAGCAGCTCCTTCTGAAAGCACTGACACTGAAGCAGAACATTTTCCTCGAAGCAGAGAATCCAGCCCACGGAGGCTGCTCAGGATGGGATGGGAAGAAACAATGAGAAGAATGTGTGTCCCTCTGACAACCCTGAGGGCTGCAGAACAGGCAGAAAACCCCATGGAAGGTCACTTCAAACTGGGAAGTCCGCTCAGCACAGCTGCTTTTCCCCATCCCTGTGTCACCATCCTCATTTAAAGCCAGATTTTGTGGCTTCCACAAGCTTGCTGCCTGAAGGAAAACAGCCATCTTACCAACCCTGAAAAAACATCTGTGAGCTCCCCTCACACTCACCAGACTGTTGGGCGCGATGTCCCCTGCTCTTTTTCTTCTTTTCCTTCTTCTCCTTTGGTTTGGCTAAACTGAAGAGGCGAGTAGGCATCTGGGTCTGTTCCTCAGCTGCCTTGTTAGTCTGGTTTGTTGTGCTAAGCAAATGGAAAGTGCTTTTCTCTTTGTGTGTCCTTGAAAGACTGTTCCTTTTGGGGGAGACAGACAGTTCTGCATCAAAGTGCCCTTGTTTAGGAAGGGAAGGGTTTTTCTGCATGGAGGATTCATCTATGCTGGACTGGGAGGAGACTCTTGCAAGTTTCTCATGTAGATTTGAAACCTAGAAAGGAAAAGTGTTTCATGAAAGAGGCTAGCAGAGAACATGAATAGAAAAGGCATGTCCCAGACCACTCGCAGAAGTTCTTCTTGTGAACATCCAGCCCCTTCACCTGGTAAAACGTAGTCCCCATCCAGGCAAAGTGAAGAGAGAAAAGCCCTCTCTGTTCAAGATGAAAAAACGAGGCATACAAAGACTAACACTCCACTATCTTTTGCTCCTACATGTACTCTGCTATGTATCAACAAGCCAAGGGCAAATATTCTCTAAGATCTCAATAGCAAGACTCACCCTGCATCGTTTGCACACACAGATGGTGGCAGGAGGCCAAGGAGCAGCGTGCCTCTCTGAGAAGGGAATGCCAGCACATGGCACAGGAGCACCATGTGTCAAAGGAAGCCTTCCCAAGCAAAAGATGAAAGCAAAAGCAGTTTTCCTGATTTTTTTTTTTCCTAACGGCTGTCTCAGGATGTAATTGAGCTTGCACATTCAAAGGGAAGATCAAAACAAGGCCCAACAAAGCTCAACTGAACACACTATTAATAGCTCTGCAATGTCAGTCAGATACCTGCCTTGAGAAGGTGCTTCCTTCTCCTAAATCTCTTAGGCCTTGCAGGCATTTTACCTCTCAGCCTCTCCCATGTCCCTTGTCTACAAGTGCATGGAGCTGGAACAGCTTCACTGTCTGCTTGGAAAACTTCTGGCTTGATCAGGAGCCAGGTGGGAGGGAGCAGGACCTCCTTTGGCGATTAGCTTTTCAGAGCTCACTGCTCAGCTCCACAATTAGGCCGTTCAGGCATCCAGAATCATTCCCACTATGCAATCCAACATTTATAACCTAACTCTGGTACAGCTCTAAGCAAATTAGTCAGAGTTAGTGAGTTACAAACAAACAAATGATCAACAGGCTTAAGGATTAAATTCAGTCCATGCTTTGCCAATGGTGCTTGCTCTCCTCAGTCAGACTGTTGCACAGTTATAAAGGAATAAACCATAGCTTGCTGAAAAATGCCCAAACCAGGATCTGTGTGTGGGTTTTTCTTTGTAGTTGTGAGCAGTCAGACACCAAAAGCCTCCTCCAGAAGAGCTGGGGAGATTTGCTCACTGAGCCACAACTGGACTGCAGGTGCTCATCTTTTCAGGACAGGGGCAATGCCATCTCTTTGCTGGATATTGAGAATGCTTTTGGAGATGGATGTCAGCATGTCAACAGCCTTGCCCTGCAGTTATCAGCCTCACAAGTGGTGTTTGTGACAGCTGGAGGCTGCAGGTTACCCCCAACACTCAGGCTGTCCCCTCTGCCTGGCCACTCCCCAGAGCTCAGCCCTTGGGTGAAGGCCAACATCAGGCAGTGTCAACCCCTGGGACTGCCTGGGACATCTTCCCTGGGAGCCTGCCACCTCCTCTCTGCCATCCCCAACACACACACAGGGTAGGAGGCAGAGCTCAGGCTCCCCAGCACTGGCCAGGCACCCCCAAGACACCGTGAAGCACCAATACTGGCAGTGCCTCAGCAGCTCCAGAGGTGCAAAAAGTGCAGCACTGTGCATCCTATGCAAGGGAAGAGCCAGTTTTAAATGCCAGTCCCCACATGTGTGGGGCTGGGCTGGCACCAGCTGTGTGCCCTCTGAGGGGCATGCAGTTCACCCAGGAGCTGGCTGGGAGCTCCCTGCAGGGATCAGCCTCCCTAGGAGCCTGGCTGCTGGCATCATTTACCTGGTTGTGGTCAGGCTCCTGCCGCATTTGAGCGAATCGCTCCACGTCCTGCTTCAGCTGCACCTTCTCCCTCTCCAGCTGCTTCTGTGCCATGCGGAGCCTCTCCAGGTCGAGCTGGTAGGCCGCCTTCTTCACCTGCAGCTCCTCCCGCTCCCGCTCCAGCTCCTGCCTCAGCCTCTGCACCTGCTCCTCGCGCTGGGCCAGCTCGGCCTCGTGCTCTGCCAGTTCCTTCTCCCGCACTTCCCACTCCTTCTCCCTCCTCTGCCTTTCCTCCTGGTGCTGTGTCTGCTGCTTCTTCAGGTTGGCGAACTCCTGGCGCTGCTTCTCCAGGCTGCGCTGCTTCTCCTGCTCCGCCAGCGAGGTGTGCCGGGATGAGCTTCGGCTGGGAGCCTTCTCGCTCCGAGACTGCTTCTGGCTCTCCACGTAGGTGTCCTGCTGCAGCACCACACCCTGGGAAAGAGGAGACAGAGATCACTGCAGCACCCTCCGTGGGGAGAGGTCCATCCCCGAAAATCTCAGAGTTCTGTACTGAACCCCTTCTTCTCCCACCAAACTTGGAGCCCAGCACTGCTGCCTGGTTACCAGAGCATACCAGCAAAGCACCTCCCCCAGCAGCTTCCCAAATTCAGGCCAGCACTGGTTCCCTCAGGCAGCAGCTCATTCCAGCCTGCAAGCTGGCCCTGGGGTGTCCAGCCATGCAGGGCTGTGACACGAGAAGGGGGGACAAGGGGCAAAGCACGACTGGCAGCCCAGACAAGCAGTGTGTGGGAGCAGGATGAACAGCTAAGCCTACCTGCAAAGCACTGAGCAGCTTATGGAGGCTGGTAATGGTTTGGAGGACCTGCTGTGAGAAAACAGAGGTGTTGCTGTTAGATCTCACTGGGTGCTGTGGACAGCACCCTCTCTTGCTCTGTGTCCCACCAGTGGGTCTGACAAGCTGCACGGCCATCCCTCTGCACCCTGCTTTTCCTCAGTCTTCCTTTGCAATGACTGCATCAATCCCCAGTACATCAATACATCCCTTGAACATCTCCCAGAAGCGCCAGGCATCACCTTCCTCCCTTCCCTAGCTGTCATTGCAGCAGGGGAAGGAACATCTCCAGAGGCACCACCCAGCACAGGGCTCATGGGAAGTCCTGGGTTGTCTCTGCTAACCATTTCCCACAGCATCAGCTTGCTCAAGAACAAGCTGAGTAATTGAGATGAAGCCTAGAAGTTCACTTAGAAATTTCAGGAAAAAAAAAAGCAAGGGGCGAAAGAAATAAAGCAATCTTTAAATAGATGTGGACTATTTGTACCCTTCCCCCCCAGCTGACCCATACAAAACCCACTGCCACAAGGCAGAAAAGCTGCACTACAGCAGGCACACAAGTGCAGCAGGTGTGTTCTTGGAGGCTTTCTGAAAATACAGAAATGCAAACACCTCATGCATCAATACAGAGCAAGCTACTTTGGAGTGATGCCCTATCCCTAAATTTAGCCTAGCTAAAAATTTCTCTGAATCTCTCATATCCTACAATTAATTTCAAGAAGAAAAAAGAGCACTTCAGTATTTGCAGTAGAGGAGTGATAGCCAGTATTAAGAGAACTGCTTCTCATTTTGTCATTAATGCTAATTGGGAGTTATGAATGTGTATCAAAGGGAGAATAGAAATCTAATTGCCCCAATTCACTGCACCTGCAACATAAAATTAAACTCTCCCTGTCTGCAGATGCACAATAAATACAGCCCTGTGCATCCTGGTGGTAATTAACCCTTGCTGCTTATAATCAGCACATATCATGTTGCTGGCAAGCAGATGACAATCAGTGAATTCCCTGTCTAAACATCCAAGGTTAAACAAATAAATGACACAGTGAGTTCAACTTAATGTATTTAAAAGTCTAGATGTGTTTCAGCAAATTAAATGTGTTCTCTTCTACATTATCACCTATTGAGACAAATTCTCTAGCCACTTAAATGAAGGGAACAGCTGAGCAATGGAATCAATTCTTACCTCGTTATTCCTTTTCAGCATGAACATCAAATTAGCATTTCCACCCTATGACAAGATCACAAATTTAATATGAGGACAATGAAAAATCATAGCAAACGTCTTCTGAAGCTGAACTAATGACACATCCATTAAATACTCCCCTCCACCCTCCATTTTGGGAGAATTCATGCATGTTTTTAGGCCACTTAGAATCATATAGAACAAAATGTTAATTAGGTGTTATTTTGCAGTTATCTGATGGATTGATCCCCAGAAAGAAAAGGTTCAAGGTTGTAGCTGACCTTATAATCTCAGTAACAATGCAAAATTAAACACATGCTTTGGCTGACCTGCAGACAGATGGTAGCTAACCTGTGCCACCAAGGAGTATAACTGATTTGCAGTGGTTTTCAGGTCAGTGGCTTTGGGTGCATATTTCATGTTTTATTTTATTTTTAACTCATTAGGATGTAGCTAATTGTCAAAAAAATTTCAGGCATTTTTCAAGGCTAGAGCTGTCACTCTTGGAATCTGAACTCAGTGGTGGCAGACACACAAACCAAGCTGTACCTTCTTTAAAATGCTGTCTGACTCTGTTCTCCGAAGGTCCTGAGCATCATCGCCTTCATCTTTCGCTCCACCTAAAGGAAGAAGCCAGCACTGACATCAGTTTCATTTTAAGGCAGAAATGAACTTGCTAAAGTCTGAGAAATTTAATACAGGAAACTCACATATTTCACAAAAGAGGACACAGAGCTCTTGACATTTTAACTAAATGGATTTGAGCCCTAAATATACGGAACACGTCAGCACTACCAGAAAAAGTGGATGTGAATTTAGATTAGGGTTGACTTTGGTTTCAGAGAACGTGCTGATAAATTCAGCACACTGTTATTAACTGGTGCTCTGTCTAGCCCCTGAAGAATACTACTACCACAGAATACTTGCTGAGAAGACATGAGGCAGCATAAGAGCAGATGGAGGATGATAACAGAATCATATCAGGGTATATTATTGCAGGTATAGTTTCAATGCCTCTCTTGTGCAAGTTAATTTACATCTGGGTCAGATACTGCTGTGCAACACCCTGTGTAATTCTATGCTAACAATTTATCATTAACCTTAGCTATCAGATACCTGGATCTTCAAAGGGACACTGGGCTTCTCTTTCTAACTTCCCCCTGGACAGCTCATATCAGTGCTCCTGAACAGGACTCAGCTGACCTGTGGGGACAGGAGGGCTCTGACCCTCCCCTGTGCTGCCCTTTCTGCTCAAAAGGAGTCACACAGACCTTCCATCCCCTAGCTCCTGACAAAACTCTTGTACTCCCATTGCCAGCTGAGATGCAGCCCATAGGGAAAACCCACACCTGCAGTGGCAACCTTCCTTCTGCCACCCTTAAAGATAAATAACTTTACATAAACCTGAATCTGCAGCTGTGTGAAGGACAACACACCTGGTGTAAAGGCCCTCTCCTCCCCCCACCCCTGAGACTGGCCCTGCTACGAGAGGCTGACCCTCAAGTCCTCCTAACAGACCTGCTCTCCTGCGCCACGTCCTGGGACCTTCCACCTCTCTGCAGGAGGAAACTCCTCCCTTCTGCTTTGCTGGAGGGGAGAATGAAGGGGAGTCATGTTATAAGCCTGGCCCAAGGTTTCACAGGTTGTGATCAGAAGAACTGCAGAGAATGCCAGGTTTCATACCTCCTGGGCAGAACAAATAGGCCCTACATTCTTTTCCCAGAATCTCCCAAGACCCTACAACTACTGAGTTAGAATCAGAGGGTATTTCTACAGAAAACTTAGATCTGGGCAACAGCCTGAGGTTGTCCCATTCATCATTGCAACAGAGAGAGGCACAACCCTCAACAAGCCCCTCTGGTGTCAGTGTATTTGTCATCATGACGATGAGACCTGTGGAGGGCTTTGCAGCTCTCCAGTAGAGCTGGGAAAGCCTCTACATAGCTCTCATGTCTGACTGTCTGGAGCTAACACTGCTCCTTTAATGCAGGAGGTCAGACGAGGTCCAACGATCCCAGTGCTGAGACAGACACTAGCACAGCAAAACTGGTTGTATTGGGAGTGTGAGTGAGACCACAGAGAAAGGAATTTGAGGACAGGGAAGTTTCTGATGACTAGAGCAAAGAAAGAGGGCATTGGGAAACAGCCAACTATGCAGCTGAAATAAGTAGTCGCGCATTTCTTTGGGAGAGACTTAATTGGAGGAATAATACATGCAGATGTAGGTGGAACATAAATGCATAGAGAGCAGGGACAGGGGAGAAGGTGTTTGATTCAGCAATATCCACATCCATTTGTAAATGCAACAGCATCAAGCTCTTACTGGGAAGAAAGGTGAAGAACAAAGAACAGACCTGTAAATATTGCAATAACACGAAGAAACTAATTTATTGAGAAGCTAAATGCTTTCATGTGGCACGTAAGTAAAATAGCAAGTATTACTCAGAGAGAGCACAGAGAGGAGTGAACAGTTCAAATGTTTAACTCTCATATATCCACAGGTTCTCAGCTACCATCAACCCACCTGTACATAGGCTTTTTTACCTAATCTGTGATTTAATCTATCAACTATTGTTGGAGAGGAGTTGTGAAACCCAAACCACCAGCTGAAGTCCTTCTGAAGCAAGAGGATATGATGATGTATATTATTAACAAATTCTGAAGTGCACACACAGAACTACTCACCCTTGGAGGCATTCATCTGGTGACTGTCAAATCCTCCAAAAGTTTCTGCCCTTCTAGGGAGTGAGATGGGGCCAACCCCTCCCTCCTGATCCATGGCAGTGCTGCTGACCTGCTGTCCAAGGGCAGTGCCCAGGCTCCTGTTCACCAGGTCTTGCAGTAATTCAACTGATAAAAAGCAGTAATGATTTTGTTAAAGCCCACCTCAGGTTTCTGAGCTATTTTCATCCCTGCCTGAGCTCAGATCAGAAATTGTTTGGTGTACAAAGAATCTAGGTTTCTGTGACAATCACATGAACAGTACACATTGCCCCTGCAAAAACTCACTCTGACCACTTACTCCAACTCTTGGAGCTCTGCACAAGCTTACACCTCCCTCTCTTCCCTCAGGCAACCTCTGACAACACCGTTTAGTAATTTTAGCCTCTCCAAAGATCATACTGGAAAGTAACCGGAGTTTCCATCTCCCCTTGCCTTTGTCAACAACTGCCTTGTCCCTTGCAGGCACCACAAGCTCCTGCTGGAGCCCAAGCCCCACCCTCATATCTTGCTGAGACTGAAGAACAGCAAAAGCCTGGATGGTCCAAATTTCTGCCAAGGATAAATCCCATGTTGCTCCTGACCCCAAAGCAGGTGCAATGCATGGTTTTCTTTGTGCTGACTTTCCTGCCCTCTTTCAACACCCCCAATATCTGCTTCCTTTCCTGATCCTCATGACCTGCCCCTGAGACAACACCATGAGGAGCAGTTTCTCCTTATCATGTTATTCTGACAAAGAGAAGACATCCCCTGCAAAACTGGTGCTCGAGAACTGATGCCTTCACTGAATGTAACCAATTATAGTTGGTTGCTGTAATTTACATGTCACATGACTGGCTCACCTTCATTTATTGCACTTTTCATGATTGCCTCTCCTTTTGGAGCCTCTTCTGTTCTGGATCTGAAGAGCAGCCTGGAGCTTGGTGTCTCCTCCTGCACAGAACTGTCTGCCATGTCCTGGAAGATCTTTGTCTTCTCCTCCAGCAAGAGCAGGATCTGTTTATCCTTCTGCTGAAGTTGTTCTGTGGGGGTCAACAGAAAACAGGGATGAAGACGGAAAATAAAAGCTTTGACAAGGAAACCTGAGCGATTCCTGAGATATTGGCCCCATCTAGTGGAGCATGACAATATCTGCTGGGTTTGGCAGCACGACAATGCCCTGGGCAATCTGGCACAGCGGGCTCGGAAAATAAATAGTGCAAGGAAGGCGAGCTGCAAACCAGGACTGCAGTTATTTTGCTAGGTGCAGGATTGAGAAAAGTCACAGTTCAACCACAAAACCCAACCCAAAAACTCCCATACATTTTTCCACAATGGCTCCCCAGCTCTGTTCCAGGCAGATTTTACCTTTCAGTCCTCTCACTCTTGCATCAAACAATTTCTTTTCCAACTCAGACTCACACGGGACTCCTTCATCTTCATCTCTATCCCTGGACAGGAGACATGGCTCAATTACTACAGGAATACACCCAGTGCACCCCCTGCCTCACAAGAGCAGCTGAGTGTCTTACATGGTGTGCACCGTGTCCTGAATGATCTGTATCCAGCCATTGCGCTCTTCTTTGGAGCTGGCATGGACCTCCACCATTTCAGGGTCCTTTCCACCCATGCTGATCAGGAACAAACCCTTCTCTTCATGAGCTACTTCTCGTACGATCAACTTCTTCAGAGAGATCACTGTGGATTTCTGATCCTTCAGATGGAAAGAAATGGATGAGGAGGGTGACCAGAGCTAGCTCCCAGATTTAAACTAGCATAGACAAGGTCCCAATAAACCATAGTGCTACATCTCTCAGCTTTGTAAACATTTTCTGAACATACTGGCTAATTAAAAAAACTAAAATAATTCCAATGGGGTCAAACAAAAGGGATGGGTTTGCTTTCCTCTAACAGTTCTGTAGGAAAAGCAATTTTACCTCACTCCATTTCAAGAAAGAACTTACTTCAAATTAACTGTGGTTTTGTAAACTGTACCATATTTTGCTCTGATCTCATTTCCTACTAACCACACTCCCCCGTCATTAATATCACAGCCCCTTACACTTGGTGCAGCTTGCTAGCCTGCTTCACACACAGAATCTTCACCATCTCTCTCCAGGATAAAGTCTTATCTTCAAATCCCACAAAACCTCTGCTGTTCTCAGACACTCACAGATGACTCCTATGTGAGAACTCATGTGTGAGGTGATGTTCACCATGTGCTATGGTCTCTGTGTCATCAGCCTGCTGGGTTACAACATCCCCAGGCTGCTGTGTCATGTGCACCCGAGGCAGTCCCTTTGTGCATTGTACCACACACTCCAACTGGGTTAATCCGCTTCACTAGCAGGACTTGTATGCAAATCATCTTCCCCTGTGTAGGGCACTGAGCCCGTGCAGAGGATTGGTGGAACTGGAATAACAAATTATCAGCTTTCAAAATGCTCAAAGAGTGGAAAGGTCACAAGGTTTAGCCAGTCGAGACCATGCCTGGAAGGTACAGCCCAGCAGACTCCACTAGGCACCAGTTTTTTTTTAGGAGGTCAATGTGCCCAGCCCTTTTCAGGGGCCTGCCCTCAAACCTAATGTTTTTGCTCCTTCACATTACAAATATATTTCTCTGACATTTATTTTCATGTTGTTCTGTTGAATTTACTGCCCTGGCATTTCACCTCACTGCCCCCCACAGCAGCTCACAACGTATTTGGACATTTCCTTCTGCTGAGGTTCATTTTTACAATGTTTGCATTATCCCCTCACCCCCTCCCAGCCCTGTCACTGCTCCAGTGTGCACAAACTGCAAAGCACAAGTGTTTCGAGTGACAGGCAGGTTTTCAAGGCCAATTATCAGCTGTGCCAAGGTGCTGCAGGAAGGGAAGGTGGGGCATGAGGACATGTTTTCCCATCAAAAAGAACAGAGTCTGCTCAGCAAACAAAAATGTCCCGAGCAAGAAAATTAAGTTGTTTAGCAGGCAATTGTTGTCTTTGCTGCACAACACAACATCACGGGTCTCTCACATAGAAAAGTAAGAAGAAAAAAAGGTTGAAATCTTACCAGTGAGGCAAAGACATACTTCTGGTCCTTCTCCTGAAGGAACACGAGCATGTCAGAGAGGAGAACAGCCTGGACTTCTGCAAAAGAAGAAGCACAGCAGTGCAGTACAACCACACAATCCACCCTTTAACAGATTTCTTGTAATAACACCAGCACTAGGGAACAGCAGGGCTGGTTTTGCAAATCCTGGAAGCAGGATTAGCCTCCCAGTTGGCAGGAGAAGCAAGGGCAGTTCCTGGAGATGCCAGATCAGGTTAGCTCTGAACCAGCTTTGCATTAAGCAGGACACATCAGCACCTGGGCATCCTGCAGGATTTGCTCTCACCCATTGGAGAAGGGGTGCTCTTCTCCAGCCACATGCTCCCTGCCAGTTGAGACATGGGCATAACAGTGAAAGCCACAGACATTTATTCAATAGCTCTGTTTTCTCAAACAATCAATATTTCAGCCCTCAAGCAAAATATCTGCACAGGAAGTTTTGGTTTTTATGGTTCTCTTGATGAGTGGTTTGCAGGGTGTAAATTATCGTGCAATAACAACATTTGTCAGCTGCAGTTTCTTTCCCAGGAAATACTGACTTCAGGAGCCACCAGTAATTCTGTTCTCAGACAAACACAACTCTGAAGGGAGCCTGAGTGAAACACAGGACCTGGCTTTCTTTCACGGGAGAAGGAAACACAACCTCAAGCCAACAGAGGATTTTAAATCAGTCTTTTCCCAGAGTACACGTAGAGCCTTCCAAGTCTCCTAATAACATATCATGAAGTTGCACAGCAACTACCAAGTGTAATGCCCCACCCAGACCCCTCAGTACAAAGAGGTTTTGTGTAATGTACTTGGGAAATCTTGTGACAGAAAGGAAGCAAACCAAAAATTTAAATCATCCCATGGGTAAATCCTTCCAGTCTGTTTTGGGAAGACAGAATCCATTCCAGATAAAAGAACCACTAAACTTTAAGCAAAGCTGCAAAATGAAATCCAGGCTCTGGGAGGTTTTCAGAAGGTGGCATTTGACTGCCTTTTTCTCTGTTCCATGCACTTTGCAAGAGGGGAAATGCTAAAACCCTTAAACAAAAGCTCTTCCTATAATTTTTGGTACGCCATGTCCAATACCACAGAATAACCTGAACATATGAACGATCTACTCTCTCCCTGGGTCTGCAGCCTGCCTGCAGGACACACTTGCCCTGGGAGTTTGCAGTACGGACATGTTTGTGCATTTCTATGACTAAGAAATGCAAATGGAGATTGTGCTTATCACAATTTCACAACAGCAGCAGAACTTGCTTCATCCACCATCTAAAGGCAGTAGTAGTTTTGGGTGCCTAGAAATCATCTGTAAACTTCCTGCTTCCAAAACCTCAAAATAAATCATACCCCACACAGAATTCCATGTTATCACCACCTCCCTGCACAGCAAGGCATCAGGCTCCCAGACCCCATTCATGCCCACAGACCATAATTTAATCAGCTAATGCTGCAGGGAGGAAGGGAAGCCCAGCCTTCCTGCCAAGCCTGAGGCACTGCTGCCATGGTCCCAGCTGAAGGATTCCTTAAGAGATTTAGTGTTTAATTCAGTGGAGAACTTCAGTGCACAGCACCTTAAAAAAGCTACTTCCACCTGATAACAAACAAAAAGCAACTCAAGAAAACACTGACCCAACAAGAAGCAGCTGCAGGGACACCAGAGTCTCTCCTGAACAGTTTGTGTCTACAGCTCAAGAGGTTCAAGAGCAACAAATGCCTGGGACTTCTCCCTGGATCCCAGTGCAACTGGGCTGGTACTGCTGCAGACCTGCCACAGCCCTCAGAGGGAAGGAAAGACCTGGAAAGTTGAGGCTGGGCTCCAGATTTAGCCAGCAGAACTGGAACAGTGGCACAGGCATGGAGATCTCACTCCATTCTTTGGGCAACTGCAGCCCCCCTGGTGTCCTCCTGGTCCAGAGCATCCCAGAGCAACTCTGCTCCTTGGCTGATACACTGAGGTGTCACTGCCACCCCAGCCCTCAGCAGGCACACAGTCACCAAGAGGAAAAGCAGCTCTCTATCATTCCAGAACCCACACAAGAAACTGGAAATGCAATAGGGAGTGGGGGTACAATCTATCAAAGCAGAAGAATAAATCAATAAATCAATAAATAAACCAATCTGAGGACTAATCCTACACCCAGAGAAGATGAGCTGCATCCTTCCACAGCAGAAGACAGGACAGTCTTACCTTTTAACCGCCCAGCTGAGTTTTTTAGTGAAACAGGCCCATCTCGGATGAGTTTCCGATGCCTCAAGTCCTCTCTTGCAAACATCTGGCCACTCTTCATCCTCATGATGGACTTGCTGTCTGTCCGGTTGTAAATATCCCCAAGACGCATTTTCTTTTCATAATTGCTGACTTTGCTATTGACTGCAGCAATCACGTCTTTAACGAGGTTTAGTGACTGACTTAAGTCTTCATGTTCCACTTCATTTTCTTTAAAAAAGAAACATCTCAATTTGACTTTGTCTGTCTAACTTCCCAATTTTACTTCCTTCCTTCCTCTTCTCCCAAGTTCCCATATTATAGCTTTTTAATACTTATATATTTTTCCCTCTTAAAGAGAGTTTTCACAAAACCTTTTCCATATACATGGTTGAGGCTGGAGAATACTTTGCATATAGGACAGTAGAGATGAAATGAACAAATTAACTACTTATTTTAGCCAACACCAAGCAAGCTGGGAGACTCTGCAGTCTAGGCATGTTGCTCCATAATTAGCTACAGCTAATTTAGACTTCTAGCAACTAAATCAAGGTCCCTGAACAACTAATCCTAAATGGAAGTATGGAATTGAGTTATCTTGTTGCAGTGATGTGAGACAACAATGACTGGATTAGCTGGTAAGAAAATCTGCTTCAGCTGTAAAGGATCCAAACTTCACACTGGACAAACAAATACGTGCTTAGAATAGAGGAACTGGTCCCTACCTTTGGTGTACTGCAGTATCCTTTGTAAAAGGACCGGGTACTTTGTGATTCTCTGTGTTACCAACAAGATACATTCAGGAATCCCCAGACGCCTCACCAGGGAGCTGCTCATTTTCTTCTAAGGAACAAAGATGAAAAGTTCAGTTCTGCAGCAAAACACTCTGCCAGAGTGCAAAAAGTACACATTTTTTCCATCAGCTACATCAGTCCTGCCAGGTCCTACCTTGACAAATGCCTGAAAGCGCTTGTCCTTCGAGTAAAGGTCTTTGAAGTAATTGACAGCTTCATTGTGATGCCCGCAGAATTTGCCGTATGTTTTCTTCATTCGTTCAGCGTTCTCCCCAGAGAACTGCAAAGAATGGGACACACAGCTCCAACCTGCCCTGAACTCCTGGGGTGACATCCCAGCAGTGCCTGCCAGGCTCTCAGAAGAGCTTGATGAAATCAGATTAGTCCAAAGCATGCTCGACCATGCAAGCAGATCTCTAGAGAGTAAAGAGCTGATCTGGGGGCTTCACCGAGCTCACACCTACAGCAAAATTTGCAACTCCACTCACAAGGCTTAAAAGCCAACCACAAAAAAGTCAAGACAGACAAAAAGAAGACAGAAGCTGTGGACAAAGAAAAGTAAAATGACCCACCCTGAGTTAAACACCAGGTCAATAATGCAGCCAATAAACACACTGGGCATATTTTGCTGTGAACTCCTGCCTACACTCCAGTCTGTGATCAAACTGGTTTGTGCCTGCCAGTGAACGCTTTTCTTTCCCACATAATGAACTAAATTAATTTTCAACCTTGGACCTTCCTTTGAAAGAGAAGAAGTGCTTGGAAAAGTAGAGGCAGAGATTTATGTGTGAAGACTAAAGGTGCCATCAGCTGTGCTTATCTGACAGGCAACAAACAGGAGGGAAGGAAAAGCATCTGGCTTCCAGCTGCGTTCTCAGAACTGCAAACATTTTCCAGCACTTACTTGATTCACTAGGATGTCACCTATCCTCCTGATAACAAAGTTCTTTTCACTTCTGTCTGCCAGTGACTCCTTCTTCCTTTCCAGAATCCGCTGGAAAAACTGACTGTGGATGTGCAGCAAGTTTTCCAGGCAGGGAAAGATCTTGTCCACAACTTGCTGATCGTACTGCAGTTCCTTTAACATGGCTGCACTGTACACATCGTTCATGATCTTCAGGGTGCGGACGTGGTGCATTTCCGTCTGCATTAGCTCTGGATAGGATGAGGACAAGAGTTCATTGGTTACAGCACAAGGAAAAGCTGCCATTAGAAAGCTTTTCCATAACTGGCCTTCTCTAAGTGGCTTCAGAAAACTTCATGTCAGGAATTGTAACATCAGTCAGGAGTTTCATGTGTGAGAGAAACAGGGGGGAAGAGGCGTACCACAACAGAGAGCTTTGGATGTTGCTGCTGGGGTCTCTGCCTTCAGCCCTGGTATCTTCTCCTTCTTAACACCTCACTGCCAGCCTCCACAAACCTCCCTTCTGCCATACAGGATGGCTCCTGAATCCCTCAGGAAGAGACTTCCTAGTTAGCTGCTTGTGCTGGAACCCAGTTTTAAAGTCATAAGCAGACAAATAAGGAGAGGCAATTTCTGGGGTTTTTTGATGGCTTCTGAATATGTGAAATGCAGAAAGGCAGCTTTCACAGAATACATTACATTTCTAGAAACTTCAAGAATGAGAGTTTGGCTTTTGAGGAAACCAAAGCAATGTTCCTATGCACAAGGCTAAAGCTTCCCAAACCCATGCATGTGAGTAGATCAAGGAGCTGTTTACAGTGAGTGAAAAGTGAAGGTGCAGATGTCTCACCATAAATCACGTCTTGCCGTTTGACAACGTCTTTGCACTGCTGCTGCAGGAACTTGCTGTCCACTACTTGGCTCCAGGACTCTGCCTCCAGCTGCTTGGAATCTAATTCCAGGTCTCCCATGAGCTGTCCTTCATTCATGTCTGCACCTTCACGAAGCAATGTAAGTGCCATTAAGATGTGGGTAACTTGTTCCATTTGAGATTCCTGTCTAATTATTTAGGTTTAGGTTTTGTCAGTCACACCACAGACATCACATACATTCTCCTTTACTGACACAAATAATCACATACCACATAAAGACTAGTTATGAAAAACAATTGTAAAGGTTATTTCCTAGTTTCCTGTTCATCATTTTCACAGAGACCAAATCCTAGCTCAGATAATGTATTCTTAATCTGCCATGAAACGACATTGCAGTTAAATAAAAAACCACAACAGAAGAGGAAATATTTGTCCCTGAGCTAAATTCCAAGTAACTCAACTGCAACTGAAACCTTCTAAATGTTTTTCCATAATTCAATGAGCTAAAGAAATTACTATGTGGGGCTTTGATTTAGTTTATCATACTAATATTCTGAGATTAAAATAAATGCACTGTAATTGTCCATTATAAAAGAAGACAATTGCTGAAAATGGATTTTCTGTTTCTGGGAAGAAGCACTGAGACCTTCCTTCTCCTAAAAATGCCATGGAGATCTCTTACCTTCATCAACCAGTGACTCCATGGACTCATTAACCCGGCTGATTTTATGTAAAGAGTCTGTTGACTGCGACAGGAATTTCCAAGTGTGTATTAAGTTGTCATCGTTCCCAACTCTGCAGAAAAACAGAACACAGAATATTGTTTATGACAAAAACCCAGCCAAATGTACTTTCAGATAAGCAGAATAAATGCATTTTAAATATGAATTGAAAAACAAAGCCAGCACTGCACGATTACGTACAGAAATGTGCTTTTATGAGTTGTTTACTAACTACCCACTGGAGCTTGAGAAGCTGTAAGTGCTACAGTTGTGAGTGACGATGCTTTCCATAAAGAACCACTCCTGAGGTTTTATAGTTTGGATAACTCCATTCCAGTCACGTCCCATCCTCACTGCCCTTGAAGCAAACAGTGTGAAAAAATACAACACCAAAGGCTATACAAGAGTCCTTATCACTAGCTCTGAGAAAGATCAGAAAATGGACTGAAATTAAATTCCCCATGAATAGCCAGGGCATCCAAACTGCCCAGAATATGCCAGTCCCTGTGACTGCCTCACATGTAAAACTGCTCAATATGCAAGTATGGTAGGAAACATAAAATAAATTTTCTTCTGTGTTTTCTTGTAATGAATTATGCATAATACAGCCTAAAAACAGGAAGACTGCAGCTCTGTGCCTTCACCCTCTTGTTATGGACACAAAAGTTAATCCTATACCTGAGCTGCAAATGTGTGCTTGCAAAGTATCTGGCCCAAGGCAAGGGAATTTCTTCCTAGGAGCCCAGAGCATCCCTATGAAGTGGCCTTGAATCTACCAGGCCATCCCAGCTGAGCCTCTGAATTCCTGCCATGGCTAAACTCACTCAGACAATCAGATTGTGCAGAAGAGAACCAATGGTATCATACAGAACATGTCTATCTCTCAGCTTGTGATCCCTTTTGTCCCTTTAACGCAAGTCACCGCACATGAGCTTGTTTTTAGTGAGATCTGGATTTCTTTACGTCAGCAGAGTCAGGTAACGCACACACACAGAGCCAGGTGTGCAGGGAGGAACCTTACCCTGCAATGTTCTGTATGGAGACACTTTTGGAGAGTGCAGTGGGCTGCTGTGATCTCCTGTTGTTGAAGGTGGAGGTGACGGTGCTCTCATCGGGAGCGAGGATGGCGGAGCGCGGGCGCTCCTTCGGCTGCGAGCCTGCAAGGGAAGGGTGGGAGAACAGTCAGCCCATGCAAACACCTTAACCACTCCTAACTGGCATGATGATGACTTAGAAGGATCCAGACCCTGAAATTCACTGCCTTTTCTTTCTAGAATCATCACCAGGGGATGTTAGGAGTTAGGAACAGCCTTAGGAAGGGAAGACCATCGACCCCTGTGCAGAACTCGCTGCACTATGCTTGAAATGCCCAGGTGGGACCTGCAACTCCAGAAACACATGTGGGAAACTGAATTTAACTGTTTTGATAATTAGTCACATGTCACAATCCACCCTGTTGCCTTTTTATTTCCCTGGGCCCATAGTCACATAAATCTTGCTGTTTCTGGTCAAACTTTTTGAGATAGGTTTCTCTTATCAGTATGCACCACAGAGAGATGATAATCCTGATTTCATTATACCATCACATACCTTTAACTAACCTGGTCATATTAATTCCAGATTTTTTCTTCTTCAGATGCATTTCTGCTCTCTGGAGCAACCCCTCTGAACTCCATGATAAATACCACAGTGATTACAACTACTATATAGTGTGGTTCCATAGAAGCTATCGTTTATCTTATGAAAGCTTACCACTTAATTGTATCAAATCATGGTCCTATAAAACCAATCTGGGCTATTTCACACCTGTTATTTATCCTTGGTCACACTGGGTCACTCTGCAGTTCAGTGTGTATCTCAGCAAAGTCAGGAATAGTATTCCTCCTACTCAAACTTTCTATTTTGCCTACACCAAAGCCCAAGACTAATTAAAACAAAAATAATTCTGTTTTGAATTCTCCCCACTTAATACTTATAGTTGGATTCTTTCTCATGTCAGACACCCATGGACTTCATATTCCATTTTGTGGCCTTAACAGGTGTAGGCATTCAGCAAGCTACAACAGACAAGTGCTTTTTCTAAATCTGAGGCAATTTTACATTTCCTTAAAGCTACACAGACACTGCAGAAGGGGATGAACTCTGTACAACTCCAGTACAACTTCTGAAGTCTCAAATATTGCTTAGCATGCACAGAGGATGCTCTAATCCCTGCTTTGTTTAAAGCTTATTTTTCGTAATATCAAGTATCAGTTGTCAGAACAGTTAAGAACAGACCACTCCCAAAGCAGAGGGAAAGAAATTGTCTTACTTTTGTTTCTCATGGTTACTGTGGGTAATGAAGAGGTATCGTGTGCCTGCAGCATCCCTCTCTGTGGCTGAAAGAAAAATGAAATTAATTTTACTTTCTTCCTCCCTTCCCCCAGAAGGTTGTGCCATATAACTAAAACAAAAAAGCTATTTTTTTTCCTATAGCCTTTCAGTGTATGCGTATTTTAAAATATATTTTTAATTTGCTCTGAATGAAATAGGCAAAATAACAGATGGAGAAATGTGCAGGAAATACGAAAATGTGAAAGTGATGACAATACTGAAGTGAACTGAAATCATAACTGCACAAACATTATTTAACTTTTAGAAGCAGGTTCCTTGCATTTGGGGTAAGCATGAAATCTGTGTGTTGCTCATATAAACAGTGTATTTAACAGTTTTCATTATGTGAAAGCTTCAGCACTGGGGCTGAAGTTCTTTACAACAAACTGGACACTTTGTGACTTGTGGTAGAAAGTGTGTTACATATATATGTGTTCAGTAGAGTAGATGAAATCTTTTACCTTCATTTTGACCTTTGCACAAGAAGCAAAATTCTCCTTACAGCCTTTGTGAACAATTGCATTACAGTCTGTCAAAAACAAAACAAACCAAAAACCAATGAATTAACAAAACCCCACAGAAAACAGGTCAGTTTTTGCTGTTTGTCTTCTGAACTGTTAACTTAACCTGAGACTTAAATTCTAACTTTTAAGGCATCATTGTGGTTTACACAAGTAGCTACAAATACTGAGAGAGAGGCTGCTTTCCAGGATAATTAGCCCTTTGTTTGTTAATAAGATTTCCTCACAGAAGTTAACAGGAAATTCTGTTTAGAATTCAATGTAAGGTTGAGTAGCCAGGAGTCTTAGATTAAAGAAAAAAGGAAAAAAAAACCAAAACCCTGATGGCATTATCCTTCTGAAAGTAAGATGGAGAGCAGAAGAGCAGAAGCAGGAGACAGAAACAGAAACCAACTGTAGGGCCAGTATTTCTCTGAAAAGACAGATACTGTTCTCATCAAGACAAGGATTGTGAGATCTAAAAGACAGGAAGGGGATGGGGAAATTCTTTTACACAAACTCAGACATCATGGATAAGATCTACAGCACAGGACCCAAGTGCTGCTGTGCTGCAGGGTTACCAGAAAAGGCAGCAGGAGCAGCATCTGCCAGGGACCATGCCCATGAGCTTGGGACTTCCTGATGGAACGTGGACTCAAGTTTTGGTCCAAAAGCACCACATTCACCAAGGCAAAAACCATCATGCTTTAACACCACCCCTTGCTGCAGATATGCCAGAGCAAAGGTTGGGTGGCTTGGTTTTGGGTTGTTTTTTTTTTTTAATACCCTGAGTCTGCCCATGATCTCTACCAGCAGACTTCTGGGAATCAAAGTTTTCAAAGGTTTTTAAAACTGCTGGAGTTTCTTCGTAACTGTTGAGAATTGGGTTTCAGACTTTAACTCTTTTGGCAGATGAAAGATCACAGCTCAAGATGAGTTTTAGAAACTTAGAGAAAAATATTTCCACTCATTCATGACAACACTAACACAGATAATGAACTGTATTTTACATGTATGTTACACTGTGTGAAGTCCTGAATTATTTCTTGAAGCAAAAGAAAGGAAAAAATTCTATGTCCAGAATGACAAAATATGCTCAGCTTTCTAGAATCTCTAACATTTGGGACAACTCAGTAAAAGCCAGTAATTCTGATATTTTAACAGAGATAAGAGTAAGGCCATAGGGTGCTGCTTTTCTGACAATGTCTCACAATTTCCTGTGCAAGAGAAGACAGAACAAAGCAACCTGAAAACTCTTGCAAAAACCCACAAGCACTGTAAGTTTTCAGACCAAACAAGGAAGAGGAACAGAACCTGCTCCTCTGGTGCGTGAACAGAGGCAATGAGACAATTCAGAATAATGAAATTCACACTCAAGCCTTGAAAGCCTGAAAACAGCTCTTTAGTGTGTATCATTTGGCAAAAAACTTGGATTTTTTTATGCTAAAAAATTTGTTTGTACAGACTTTATTCCTCCAATTCAACTCTTCAGCAAGCAAGAAGCTGCTCTAACTCCTCTGTGTCACTAGTATTAGTAACTAAAACCTCCAAAACCTTATTTTCTGCATCAATGATCTTTAAAAAAGTAAAAAAAATAAAAAAAAAAGACAGAAAGCTACTAAAAATTAGGCTTTTTTTTCTTGCCCATTTATTTCAGAGCATGCTCAATCTTTCAGCTTTGAGTAGATGTTTCAGGTAGCTGGGGGGCATCACTGAAAAGCTGAGATGTTGATTTAAAATAACCACTGCTTTAAAAGGCATTAAAAGTCACCCACAGGTGAGACAGAGCAGCAGTGGTAGCAGCAGCCTAGAACAGCACAGGAATATCAGAGCCTGTGCTGCTCCCCATCCATCATTTCCAAAGCAGCTGAGGTTGATTTTAAGATGCAATGGGAGAAAGAAACACTTGCTGATGTGAGCTCTCAACTTAGGCCTTCATCAAACATTTTTTTATGACATTAATTTTCTGGCCAATGCAGAAAACTTGCAACAATCTTCCACTGTACCTTGAAAACAAGGAAAGAGCATCTGTGCTAAAACATATGACATTGTTGGGTTATTTTCCCTCATTCAAGATTATTTAAACTTATCTTTAATGAGTTTACAGAGCGTAAAACTGGGATATATTTCATTTTCTACGTGGCTTCAGAACCTGCTAAAAAAGTCAAGTGGGGAAAGTGAGAGGATAAATTTGAGAGTTTGCAATTGTTGATGTTTTACATTTCCCATCAGGCTGACACAGAGCATGTCTCAGACAAACAACTCTGCTAAAATCTCTTTCAGGAAACTCAGAAGTGCCATTTGGGGTTGAGCTGGCTGCTCCCTCCCCAGCTCACATCCACCAGCAGGAACGGAAGGCTCCAGCCTGGAACAATTCCCGCAGTCACTTTGACTCATTTCTAGGCTAGTGGAGTAAAAAAATTACTAATAGTGAGGAGAGGAAAGCCTTTTTTCACTGAGCTATAGTGGGAAAAAAATGGTTTTTGTCTACATATTCTATAGCTTTGGGCTGCTGCATGAACCAAGCAGCATTCTGGTCTCAACCACACAAACACCACTGACCTTATCGAGCTACAGGCATGAGAAACTGTCTCAGTTAAGACAGTAGTCAGTATTTTCAGTATTTCTCAGATAAAAAATGAGAACAAAATGCCCAATCTGTCATAAAACCTCAGTGAGGTTCCCATCCTGCCTGTCCTGTGCTGCATGTCCCTCACATGCACACAGGTAGTTGTCATTTGACCTGTGATGCAATTTCTTGTACAAAGGGAGCAGAGGGTCAGTATTTCCTTTTTGCACCATGTGGTTCCCACTGTGGGTTCACCAAAGTGGTATTTCAGAGAATTAAAGCAATACACCACAGATAGGTGGGGCTTTTTTTTCCCCCATTGGAAACAGAAGCCATGACCCAAGCCAGCTGTCCCTTTGTCCATCCTACCTCAGCTCCAAGCCACTACATGCAGCTGAAATAACCAAAGTTCTCCCGACTGGTAGAGCCCAAAAAGAGGTAGAAAACCCCATGGCCTGCTGTGATAGCTGAGCTCAGGCTTAGGAAAGAGGTTTCAGGACACCTCCATGCAGCCACGACTCATTTCAGTCCAGTTTCCACAAGGCAACACACTGCTCCATGAATCACTTATCTCCTAAGTCTCCCTCCCACCTTACATCCTCAAGCAAAAGGAAAATAAAGTGTAAGGTTTGCATTTTCCATGCCAGATTCAATGTAAAATAAAAGGAAGGGGGGGAACCCCCTGACTTACTTGCACAGTAGTACGAATCCTTATTGAAAGGCTTCATACAGTGGTAGCAGGTTGCTTGGGCTACAACGGAGGTTGCAGTGAAGAGATGTCCATTCAACAGCTTCTTATCTTTTTCCTTCTCCTTGGAATCTTTGTCCTTCTCTTTAGTCTTCTCTTTATCTTTCTCTTTTTCCTGCCGAGACAAAATGACCAAAAGCCTGTTCACTTGGCAGAGGTCTCTTCCCTAGTTACAGATTGCTCAGTGTTTGCCTTTGGCACGGTGAGGATATCGATCGAGGTGCTCCTGAACAATGGCCATGTGTCTGCACAGCTCTCCCTTAAAAAAGCCCCTGTGGAAGTGCATTTACATACTACTGACTCACATGGGTGTCTCACCACTGCAGAAGTCTGTTCTGAAGGCACCTATTTCCTTCTACCTTTGTTTTATACTTGCTTGGTTTAATGACTCTACCTCTTTTCTTTTTCTGGGCTCTCATCAGCCTCCTCAGCACTTTAAATAATTTGTGTTAAATACAAATACCACATGCAGTGTGTATCAGACTTTCAACACAGTTAATTTTTAAGGCAAAACCATAAGGCTCATGATTTGCAACTGCATTTCTGATGGAGAACACAAGCTCTTCCTAAATGCCTCTACAGCCTTACTGCCAAAATATTTCCACCTCTGTTTTCCTTCAAACTAGCAACTTTTTAAACAGTTACATGCAAGTAACTACGTGAAGCTTTTTGGCAAAATAGATCTTTTACAAACTCTTGACCTACACCACAGCAACAAACACCATAAAGATCCTCTCATCTTCCACAAGCCACAGCTCAACATCTGGGCTACTCAGCTTTGGAACAATGACATGCACAGACAGCTTCTCCAACTTTTAGCAGAGATTTTGCTTCTTTTCCGTCTCTACCTTAGACAGAAAATGCTAAATGCTAAAAATTTAAAACATTTTTCCCTCCAGCCTTTCATGGATTTGGAATTCTTCCAAACAATTTTTAAAGGAAACTCCACAGAAAAACTCTGAAAAACAACTCCTCGTCCTTCCCTGTACCAACCTACAAAACATTTATGATACAAGTCAGCTGCAGGTCTGTACTTTTAACTGTTAACTCCTTAACTGTCTGCTTTTAACCGTTGCTGCAGATTTCCTGGCATCTGAAAGAAAAGCTTAACCAGAAACTGGTAAAGGCTTCTGTCAGCTTATCTTTGCATTTTGTTATTTATATGCCACGAGCCCTTTGCCTAATACTGTCCCAGCCAGAATATCAGGGAGCTGCAGAGCTGCCCATGTGAGTAACTGCCATGAAGTGGCTTAAAGAGGGATGGAGCTCTGCAGCCACTGCAGGGAAACTGCTGAGCCCTGGATGACACTCACATAATGAGTAACTCAGCCTAAGGACTCCTCTCCCAACACATCCCAGGCAAAATGCCAGTGCTGGAGTCTCTCCCTGCAAAGTGTCATAAACAGAAAGTCTATTTACTGGCCCCAAATGCCGTTTTGTTCTGCAAATAAGCAAAACTAGGAGTATTACCATATGGAATAATCCTGTCTGAAGCTGAAAACCTGCCAGAAAGAGTCTGCATCACATCTCATCTCTGCCTCCTCTGAGCCATCAGCTTGGCTCACACCACCCCACAGAAACCTCCACAGCCCCATTTTCCACCCGCTGACCTGCCCATCTTTAACCATATCCAGCCTGGCAGGATTCAGGAACTAAACCTCTGCAGTTTAGGCCTGGGCTGATGGTACCAAGTTGATGCCTGGAGTTTTGCTCTACTGCCAAGCCATGTGAAGCTCCAGGAGAAAAGATCTCTCTAAGCTCAAGCCAAATCTTGTGACTCTCATGCTGAAAGGAAATTTCCCATCCTATACTTTAAATCTACCTGAAGTTCACTGCAAAACTCAGCAATTCTGAAATCTAATTTTAATTTTAATTAAAGCTGAAAGGCCCCAGGAAAAACAGGAAATCAGTGCACCACTTTTAAGGAGGAAACTGCAAACTCCACACAAGGGCTGCCAGCCACTCCACTGAAGGACAAGGTCTTACAACGAGATTTTTTTCAGTTTTTTCTTTTTTCCCGTGGCAGTTACTGGAACTTTATTTAAAGAAGGACTGTAGAAACAAGACTATTTCTGTTTTGCTGGAGCTGCCAGGAAGATTTGAAGCCAGGCTTCGTGGCTGAACTGACATGCCAGAGCAGACACCACGACAGGTACCGCGGCACCGCAGGCACGACGCGGCAGCGGATCCCGCTCCCCAGGAACCACACAGCTCTTACCTCCCAGTGCTTAAGTCCCACCAGCTTCACTGTTATCTGAGGTACTTCTGAGAATCTATTCCATTTTATCGACATCCTTCCCCTGGGGCAGGAGAGCTGCTGGCCACCAGGAGCTGCTCCCCACTAGCCCATGGCGATGCTGAGGCTGCAGCAGGGCCGGGAGGGGAGGCACAGCTCGGAGGAGTTGAGCAAAAGGGGGAGGGGCAGGACAATTTCTGACTTCCTTAAAGATGATTTTAGCTACTTTGCTATTGCTTTCATCTTGCCCTACCTTAGCTTCCACTGCTAAAAAAAAATCAAACCTAAAAACCCAACCCATACAGGCAGAAAAGGATGTGATTAATATTCTACAAGTCACAAGTCAATATAAGACTATTTTATAAAGGGGAGTAAATCAAACACTCTGTGATGTTTGGGGTGCAGAAAGGTGGATTTTAACATACCTCAGTGTTGCTATGTAGCACTTCACCAAACAAAGTGCTGCAGAAGTTGCCCAGACAGAGAGGTTTTGTGTGTTTGAGCTCCTGCTGCTCTGCAGGTCACATATATCCCCTGTCTCCTAATCCTTTCAACTTGCAACTCCTACCATATATCCAGAAATGCTCCTGCTGGCACATCACTACCTTACTACCGTGCAAGGCAATGAAAAAGAGAAATTACTCATGATAATGTTTATAATTTCTCAGAAACTTGCAACCAAAATGAAAAAAAAAAAAAAGAGCTTTTTTTTCCTGAACTGACAAAGAGATTCACTGATAATCCCAAACAACACCAAGTACATGCCAGGCAGGGGTACATTCACACCAACAGTATCCCCTCCAGTTAATGCTTTAAACATCCCTTTATTTTTAATGTTTTTTTACATAACTCTCCACATTTTCTGAAAGAGATGCTGCTGTTAGTAGGCTCAGATATGCTTTATTTTACTTTATTTCATCTGAGAAAACTGCATTTCTGAAGGTCTGGAGATGAGTAAAACCAAGCTGGAAAGACACTGCAGCCTCCCTCCCTCCTGACAGCCCAGAAACCAACTTCCTGTGTCAAACTTCCTCTTTCAAGGTTTGTTGTTTTGTTGGTTTTGCTTTTAACTCTTACAGGTTTTTCTTGTCTATAAGGCTTCTAAGAAATCAGTGTTCCAACGAATTTTTTGGTCAAATTATTTAAATGTACTGGTGGAGCCTTAAAAATGTATGTAATGCAAACATTTCACCATGAGCAGACAAGAAATTGTAATTTCAATGATATTTTGGCTTTTTTTTAGTAAGAGAGTTGATATGAACTGCAATTTTTGTAATGCTTGTTATGGTTGGGATTTTGGAGCAACTCTTTATCAACATTTTCAGACACAATCATGAAATTAGAGCTTCTGTCAGACATATGAATCATGGTGAGATTCAAGCAAAAATATCCAACCAAGCCAAGAAATTCCCCAAACATATATTAACCTTCAAGGGACAATCTAAAGCAACAACAGCCCATTTGTGTGAAGTATTTAGCATTAATGTAATTATTTCTGCAATCAATACCGTTCCCAGGAAATTCAGCTGTGCTGAGCAAGGCTTAACTTTCAGAAAATTAAATTCCAGGGTTTCAAGGATGGAGAAAAGGGAAAAATATAAATATTTGCCTAATTATGCACTAAAAGTCACTGTCTGAGCAACTTCTGCAGCACACAGGAACTTTGTGGCAATCATAAAAAAATGATGAAAAGACAATACAGCCTTTGGCAGCCAGTCCCTTCTTATGGATCCTGTCCTTGTTTTATTAAACACCTCTCAGGTTCTGTAAAAATAAGACTCATTAATCACTACAAAGCTCTAACTCATGCCAGGGCAGAATTTATTCTCTCTGGGGAAACGAGTGGAAACACAGAATTATAAAGGATGGAAGAGACCTTTAGGATCATCCAGTCCAACTGTCCACCCAGCACCGTCACTGTAACCCAAATTTAGGACCCAACACTTGGCCTTACTGAGCCTCCTACAGCTGTCCTTGGGCTCAGTTTTGGGGTGCTAAGATTTCCCACGAAGCCAGTTCCTATCACCCCACACACACTCCTGCCCTTACTGAAAAAACAGAACAGGGAAGGAAGAAAGTACAAGAAAGTAAAGAAAGTCAGAAAAAGACTTAAACACAGAACTCATCTCTGCTGCCTATGGGCATTCCACAAATCACAAGAAGCACTTACTTTGCTCTTCTTGCTGCTGGACATTTTATTCCTGAGGTAGCTAAAGGTGCGGCTGACTTTTGTTACACCTTTACCAGCGGGGACACTGCTGCTCTCTTCAGATATGCTAAAATAAAAAAAGAAGATAAAAGTTTCTTTTATTTTCTTTTTCTCCTTCCCAAAGCAACTATTAAATGGATAGATTCTTTTTAAAGGACAAATGCATTTATTACCCAATACAGTCTAGGTGCTTTATGGTGTTTGCACCATAAAGCAGAAAGAGGGAAAGTGAAGACAAAGAAGGAAAAGTGAAGACAATGCCAATCTACTAATTCTGAGATAAATTTCAAGGAATCCTCATATCTGTTTTGAAGCAGGCCATGCCACAGCACCCTCTGCTGCTCCCCTTGTCAAATAACCAGGAACCATTACTGCTGTGAAGAACCATTTCCTTCCAGAGAAAGGCATCTAATGAACTCTGAAAATGCAGTGAATGTCTTTAACAGAAACCACACTGTCTGCAAAGCCTCCCCTGAGAAATGAGAATATCAATATTAAGTAATAAACCACAATGCTTATGTGTATTAATTAGGGAATTTTTAGGATCCCAGGTAATTTTTGCCAGTCTTTACATGCACAACCTTATGACTTCTTCAGCTATGGTAGAAGAGTAAGGAAACCACTATTGCATTAAAGGACATAGTCTGTTAATATTAAATACAAGACAAATCAAAAGCAGAACAGAAATACAAATTAAACCAAGGAGGAGAAAACAGCAGTGAGCAAAGGTGAAGAGCCCCCCAGTCACAAAATAAAGCCAAAGCTGTCAAAGTGGCACAGAGACCAGACATCCAGTACCACAAATGTCCTTCCTCCAGGGAAGCACTCTGAAAGCCACCAGGAAGATTATCTCCTCTGTGCAACTTGCAAGGATGAAAAGTAACACACAAAAATACAATCATTTTGGCCTTTGTTATAGAGAGATAATTAGCCACAGGGAGAAAGCAGTACTTTCAGTGTAGAATATAGCTCAGGGTAAACTGACACCCTGCAAAAATGCATAATCTGATGTTATTAGCAATGAATAAACAGAGCCTTGTTAAGAGATGAGACGAATGGACTTTCATATTCTGTGATCTAAAATATTCTTCAGCCTTTAGAGATACGGGACTGATTTTCACAACTTCCGATTTCAGCTGAAGTGCACTGGTGCCAGGAAGGCTTTTGGGTGTCCAAGGCAGAGCCCACTGCAGGAGTGCCCCCAGAAGAGACAGGGTGTGCCCAGGATACTGTACCTCTGCACTGAGGAGCCCATGGAGCCGCCCAACGACTGTGCACCTGCAAAAGATGGGAGGGGTGGGGGGTGACAGGTTAGACTGCAACCTTAGCCCACTGATTTCAACAAACACAGTTTGCATGTTGGGATGGTTCAAGAGGAAAGGGAAATGTTTTCCAGAAGTGGGTGTTTAGAACAGATTTCACGTGCTCAGGAAAAAGCCTGTTCCCCATATCCCCATATCCCCATCCCATATCCATAGCTGCTCTCAAATTAGATGCTGAGGTGAAAGCCTGTTTAGTATTTTTATCACTCTTCAGTTATTAAGTGAAGTCCGTGCAACTGTTAAACTTGCTGAAAAATCAGGGTGTCTGAATAAGAACCGTCAATTCAATGACAAGAGGTATAAACGAGAATCATTCTGACACAATGCTTTAATTTATACTCCACTAGAAAGGATCTATTGTACAGCACATCCGGGTTTCATGTATAAAACTTTTCTCCTTGATAAAATTGTAGTTCATTTTCCCATCAAAATCCTGAGGCACTTCATAAAAAGTAAGGGAAACAAGGGAAGCCTTATTCTGTTTTCCACAAAACGTTACCAGCCTGGGGCTTCGTCATGAAACGCTGCTTGAGGAAAGGCTGAATTTCAGCACGAAGCTGAAGCCCTGCCAGTGGCACCAACTCTCTTTACACAAGAAACCTGCTTGCACAACACATTTGGAACAGATCTGGGAGCTGACACCATTTACCAGAACCATCAAAGAATGCTAAAAAATCAGGATGAAATGATCCAGGACAGAGGGCTCTCTCTGAAGTAACTGGGCTTGCCAGGACTCCAAAAAAACCTTCAGACACGCGCTGTTTGCAGCCCTATCTGAAGTTCAAGAAGCAGCATAACTGTCACCTTACAAGGCTCCTGCATATATACTGCAAGAAAAACAGCATTTTGGCTTAAATTCTCCTAATGCTAAGGGTGAATGCAAAAACTTGCCCCTAGAGGCAAAGATGGCCCTTTATCCAAAAGCAGTAAGAGCATTAGGAAAAACGATGCATACAATACTAGGCTTTAAATACAGATTTTCTAACCACTGATTCAAGTGCCAACAGAGTCTGAGACAGAAATATCATTTCTTCATATTGAGAAACTAAAATACTGGCCTACCCTGTTACCTAAACCCTGCTTGGAGAGCTGTGTTAATATTTCCCTTGGAAAATCTTTCACCTCATTAATGATTTATCCCAAATACACCAAAGTTAGTAATACTGTAACTATGAAATGAAGTCTACTATTCAATTTCCAATACTGATATTATATTTTTATAATATAAAACTACTTAAGTGCCTAATAGGATTACACAAATAATTTACAGACTCCCAAATCCTTGGTTAAAGCTCCAGTAACTCTGGTGCCCATTTCAGTTCTAGCTTGCTTTTAATCTGGGTTAGACCACCTTTGTCTTTCCTTTTTTTAAAAGAAGATTCATCAGTTTGACTGGATTTAAGTATTTCACAAACATTTTTTTTTTTTCTTTGCAGTTAACATGAGAAATGTGAACAAACACTGAACCAAGAATTTATGAATGTTTTTCACTACCTTCAGAAAATACGCTGCATGAGAACTACAATTATGTATCTTTATTTTTTACTTCAATAGTTGTTTAACCTTAAAAATGGGGGATTCTTGGTGCTGGCAGGCAAAAGGGATCCAGTGAAGAATTAATGTCTGTTTATGATTTCATATTTTAGATTATAATATAACATCACATTATCAACACTGCTGCAAGCTGTAAACCCCAGGAAGACAAGCACAGAAAAAGACACATCTTCTCACCTTCTGATTTGTTTATGAAGTAGAAGAGGGGAAGGAAAGCTTATTTTCATAACCTTTTTGTTCCCTGTCATGACCAGGAACAAAACTGAAATCTGACTTCAGAACCCAGAAAAAAATCAAGTTTTTGTTCCAAAAGCCAGAACTGATATCTGTGTCAAATGAATCTGGGCTGGCAGCCAAAATTTGCTGTATTTGTCTGAACACCTTTTAAGGACCAGCCACAAAAATTAATTCATATGGTAGCTAGACTTAAAATAATTAGTCAAGATCCATTATGCAGAAAGTAGTGACTGGACTAGGATGTTGAAACCAGCTTGCAATGCCTTAATGCTGTCAGTAATTAAACTTCTGTGGGTCAAGAAATCCAAAGGATTCATAATAATTCTCCAGCCATCTGAAATCCATGTCTTAAATATATCACCGAAAAAACTTCAACTAATTCTCCATTTTCTAAAAAAAAAGCAGGCATGGAGAGGTTGAGGAAGGGCAACTGAAATGCATGTGCAATCTCAGTGCTCACACATCCATCCTCTCATGAGAAATGAACCCTAAAGATAATACTAATAAACAAACTGGTCTGGGATTGCTCCACGAAAAATGACCATGGCCAAAGCAGTCTCAGAAAGAGCTGTGCCTAAATCAACCTTTATAAAGTCCCACAGTATCCCCAAACATGTAAAGAAAACAATATCATTGCTTGAGACAGTATCTGACATTATCTTAAATGATCATGGTTAACAGGAGCACTGTCGAGGGAAAGAACTGGCTACTATAAATATCATCTAAAATTGTCATACCCTAACATGAATATCAGGTGTTGGATGCTTAAAACAAAAAAAACAAAAATAAATAATAATAATAATAGTAAAATAACCCAAATGCTTAAAAGAACAAAACTCGCCAAACAAACAAACAAACAAAAAAACTCTACCAGAAAGTTTACCTAAGGATATTTTTTACTGTGGGGTATCATATGAATGCACAGCTTTGTCTTTGCAGTTCACTTTGTCACTTTGTAGGGACCATGAACCATCAGTTTTGTTAAAAGCAAAAGAAAAGGACAGAGCAATGAGGAAGGAGTTTAAATATGGAGGTGGGTAACATCACACCTGGGCAAAGAACTTTCCTGAAGGAAGGGACAAACCCACAGTGAAGACCAGGAATGGAAAGGAGGAGAATTTAGATGTGTACAATGTGGATGGTATGGAGATTGCTTTAAATTCAGGAAGCAACCAAAATCTATTGGACTGGAAAGCAATTTCCCCCTTCCCAGTAATGACACAAGGAATGTGTCTGGTTTATTTCAACAGTCTAATAAAACATGCTTAAGAAATAGAAAGCATTTAGAATACTCTTTGGTAAGCCTATTTAAAAAAACAAGAGGAGTCTAGATTAATTCAATCTTCTGCCTTGGTTGGACTTCTTTTAGCAATGGAGTTTGCAGGGGAAAAAAAGAGCTGCCAGAGAACTCTCACCTGTTTCCCACAGAACTATTTTGATAACAATATCAGGACCTAGATATGAACACCTTGAGGATTTAACGTCTTTGACTGGAATTTGTGCTTTTTGCTTAGTGGAGGAACTGTGAAGTTGCTGTGAAGATTTTCAGAATTTAATAATCAGGGCTTCTCTTCCACTGAGCAATGCACTCACTGCCACCTATGGAGGGCAAGGAAGTACCTCTTCTGCTAACTCCATGCCCTGCAACAAGCTCAAGGCAAGTATTTTGGTTTTAGTAAAAAGGTAAAGACTGTTTGGCTGCTCATAGTGCCAGGTGATGTTATCTGATCATCTATCTGACCAGATAAGATGTGATGGTGCTGATGTAGAAGATTCTTTGGATAATAATCCTCTTAATTCTGCTGGTAGTTAGTATTCAGAGAGGACTAAGATAATGCTATTGGACATCATGCAATGGAAAGGGTAGTTCAATGTTTGCAAGGCGAAATTCCAGTGTCTGAAGCAGAAAACCAGATTTCTCTGTGTTTCCACTCATTATGGCTGCAATGCATAGAAAATTATTACTTACTATCCAACTCCTCCTCCTCCTCATCACTGGAAGAAGAGCCAATAGAAAAGAGAGTTTTAGACTTAGGAATGAGTGGAGAGATGCTGAAGGAGAAGGAGATTCGTCTCGATGGTCGAGTCCGGCCCTGGGCTGAGAAGTAGGTTAACAGCAGACATTAGAGCATGCTTGAAAATGCATTTAATAATAAAAAGGAGAGGAAAGCAGCCAAAGCAAACTAAAAGCAAAGCAAAGGAAATGTCTGCAAAGCAGCTGGCTCCAGAAAGGCACAAGAAAACGAACTGAGAATGTTTAAATTCCAGAGGGTGCAGGTTTCAGAGGGCACAGGCCTCACTGCATGCACAGCTCGACACTCAAGTCTTTCACTACTTTTGCTGAATTTTTTTATAGGACCTCTTACTGAAGTACTATAGGCAGTTATCCTTCCAAACAGAATACCAACAACAGAATGGATCTCTGGACAAAAGGCATCAGCTCCACTGAAAGAACTCAAACTAGAACAACTCAAGATATCTGTTTGAAGGTGCTTTCTGTAGTTAAATGATACAGCAAAGCTACCAAATATTAACAAAGACAATTTATCTTAAGTGTTGACTTTATCTACCTGGGGAGGGTTCTTGCTACTTCTATGTCTAAAAAAAAATCAACAGTGTTGATAATGTCATGCCCTTCAAAATTTCCAGATTTAAAAAGCAGATACTTAAGCTTCCCTTCTCTTCTCCCAAAATAAAACAGAAAAAAACAAGCATATTTTCTGCCTTCTTCTAAAATTTAAGAGTCCTTGTTTTAAAGAAACTGCCTAAACATGACAAGAGCTCCACTACACCCTCTTCAGCCCTTGCCTGGAAGATGCCTACCAAACATAGTGCCAAACTCAGCAATCAGTCTGTGACATCAAATATCCCATCATTTATTTTTATGAGCAGTCCTTGCACAGCAGCAGCTTCCCAAGAATTCTTTGTAAGTACATGGTCTCTGAAAAGAGAATTAGGAGCCAGCTAGTCATTCTTCACTGTAAGTGGATTCCCAAAGGCCCTAAACCAAACCTTCTCTTCATAACCATCTCTTCATAACCTTCTCTTCCCAAAGCTTCTCTTCCTACAAGCACAGGTGGAAACCTCTGAGCTGTGAGCTGATTGCTGGACACTCACTGCTCACATGGTACATCCCTGTGTCCTCAGGAAAGGTGACCGGGACAGGGCTGAGGAAACCCTGCCCCTGGAACAGGTCTGACCTAAGGGTCCTACTTAAGCACCTACATTAAACATCTTCATCCTTCAGCACAGGTATTCAGGTACTTTTAAGTCATTCCATGGATACATCAATTCACTCGCAGAACAGGGAAACAGGATAAAGACTTTATCAGTATTAAACTTCCAAGAGAAAGACAAAGCAATTATTTCTCTCTTTGAAAGTCCTTTCAGCCACATGCAATGATGGTTTTTTGCATGGCTGGTATCATACATCAAAACAGAATTCAGAATATAAAACACTGTCCAAAGAGCAGCCAATGCTATGAAAGCAGTGCAAAACAAACTCCCCTGAACACTTCCTCCAGCCATTAGTCACAAATGCCAATTGCCTACAGGCAATTTGACTAAAATGTGCAGAGTTTTCCAAGTAAGCAGAACAACCCTAGAGGGACCCACTGAAAAGCATTTAGACTGAAGAATTCTTAGGAAGACCCATGCATTAGTTTTGTTTAGACTGCCTTTCAAAGGAGTTGTTCCAGTGTTCCAGACCTGAAGAATACAATTAGGCAACAGGACTGTTTCTTCTGTAGTCTACTGTCTATTTAGACTAAAAGTCAAGATGAACAATAACACTTTACTGTAAATTGAACCACCTTCGCCAACACAGTTCAACTTCCATTTCAGTGGTTTTATTTATAGCAATTCCTGGCTTTATAACAGTGCTCCACACTGGAAATTTGCTATTCCAAGGCTAAAAGCATTCTTCCGAGCACTCCAGCCAACAGCTCTTGTGACCTCCCTCTATAAAATGCTGAAGGATTAACATTGTGAATGGCCACAGAAGCTCTTGGAACATCTGACACATCAGATGGAGTGTGGGCTAGGAACTCGGTCTTGGAAATTGCTCCTCCTTCAGCACACATGACAATAAACAGTAAAAATAGAAGAAATTCCTCCATGTGTTTATTAATCTGGATTTCATTTTTAAAGTTCTTGAGCACAGCATGTTGCTTTCTTCCCATTCAAACATATTTGAAGGGATCAGAGGGTCATTTTTTTTTTCAACACCTACCACAAAGTTATGAAAATGGAATAAAGAACATAATTTGTCCTGGAATTCACTTCCATGTAATTCTTGCATAACTCCTAAATGTCCTGCTGGAAAAACATGAACATCGAACCCAGGTGACACAAGGGAGTTTATACACCAAGACCTCCTTGCAACAGGCACTAAACTGCTTCACATGTCCTGTGGCCACAATTCAAACAGCATTGCTCCTCTATCAAAGGGGAAGAATTGACAAGAGTAACAGAATGGTTTGGATTGGAAGGGACCTTAAAACTCATCTGGTTCCAGTCCCTCTAGCAGGGACACCTTACACTAGGGCAGGTTTACCCTAAGCCTCATCCATCCTGGCCTTGAACACTTCCAGGGATGGGGCAGCCACAAATTTTTCTGGGTGATTTACTGAAGTTTTTGTAGTCAGGAAGGTGTCAGGATTGGGAAAAAAGTCCAAGAGCTAAATTTTCCAAGTGATTATTCCTTCTGGATACTCATATTAACCCCTCAAATCCTCTAATTTTCAAAAACCACCTTCCTATAAAAACGTGGCCCTTCTGAGATGTCACAAATTAACGACTGAGAAAATAAAGCTCAGAGAAACATTAGTAATATTTACATTCAGTGTCCCAAATTCACAGACATCTGCCTCAAAGCAGAAAAGCAACCCTGCTACTTTGTCCACAGCCTCTCTAGAGGCTACATCTTCTCTTTTCCTTCTTTCTCCAGGGACCAGGGTGGCCAGGCAGTCTCTAGAAGAAGATGGGATAATTAAGCCTCCATGGTATTTTCAATGCCAGGCCACAGGACTTTTGAACAGCATTGGCCTTCCAGGCCCCCTCAACCACCAATAGCTCATTTCTGGGGAGCCAACCAAGTTTTTTTGTTGTTTGGTCAGAGGCTGGGTGCAATGCCAAGAAATTGGTAGCTTCAAAAAACAACAGTGAAGACCTTCAGCCCAAGGAGAGAAGAGGCAGTGCCATCGCACAGGGCAGGGTCTGCTCTCTTCACAGGACAGAGCTGCCCTGTTCTGGTTACTGCTGTTGGGGGGACACATCCCTTAGGACTCGTTCTTATCAGTCATGGAATTATCATGGTGAAGAATTGAAGAGTTTAAAACCATCTCCTACAAAGCACAATCCCTGTGAGCTTCCTCCAGCAAGCCTCTTCCATAAATGAAACACCTTCCTTAAAGCACCTTGTTGTGTTTTGCAAGGGAGAATCACATTAATAAAGAGGAAAGATCAGACACCATCACCAAGTGACAAGAGCTAAAATGTCAATAGGGTTTCTGGCTGGCAATTAATAAAATGAAAACGTGTAATACATCCTAAGCACATCCAGCTGCAGCCTTCTGAATGACTTTTTCAGCTGAAAGAATCAATTCAGCCAAGTTGCAAAATTAAGTGCTTGTTATCGCTTCAATTAAGCTAAACTGGAAAATTTTATAGAATCATCTTTTATTATTTTCTTCAGGAATGAGATTCAACAAATTACACCCAACTTTTCCAAAATATTTAACTCCAAATTAATAGCAACAAACTCCCCTAAGAAGATCAAGATATGGATTCTCAAGATTCCACATATCAGCTTTAAAAAAACCTAGATGCAAGGAAGTAAGATCTCAAGTGGAATTTACCTGACATCAAAGGAAGAAACTCTGAAAGGATGCAAAATTAGATCCTTTTTTTTTTAGTTAACAAACTCAGTAAATCATAGTTTTCCTATCAGTAGCCTAATTTAGAAAGAAAAAAGCAACCCACACAAAGGAAACCCAACAGAAAGAAAACAGGAGGGATACACTATGAAGAACAAAACTAAACTGAATGATTTCTGCCTTTCCACCCACAATTCCATGCAGCAGTGAAATATATATTACATATTCCTGTAATAAGGGAAGCATGAGCGGGCAGTAGCACATTTTGCCTTGGGTAGGTAGCAAGATATACTCAATTATACAGAGAGGGTAATGAAAAACTGGATTACTCACTGTCAAGCACTGGCTTGCTAATTGACATTAGAGACATGGATTTGGTCAGTGGAGATGAAACAGCAGAAGAACAGAAGTTAAATCCTTGTGGCTGTGCAGTTTGATGCACCTGCAGAACAGAACAGAACCACACTGAGTATGTCAAGAATGACAGAACCATCCCAGCTTCAGATCCCAGTCCAGTGTTAATGTTTACTGCAGCTCTCACTTTGAAACAGTGAAACAGTGCACAGGTGAAATGCAACATTTTGTTTTGTCTTTTAAGTGTCAAGACAACTAATTATGCAACAGAGGGACTATATGTGTTTGATTTTCTTGCAAGACATTAAAAAACAGATATTGTTAAAACTCTCTGATTGCCATGGAAATTGCTGTTGTGATTCCAACTCCTCAGCAGAACTAGACTGTGGTTCAACTTGGTAAAAAAAATCCAATGCTTAGCAGTGTGCTCCCAAAAATTGCTATTTCTCTAAGCAAGAGAAGACACAAGAGTTGCCACAAAAAACAAAGTAGAAAATTTAAAACAGCTGGAGATTCCTCCATGTTAAAGATGGAAGATTTTTAATACTACGTATATGTACATATAAGGTGGAAGCCTTTGTCAGACTGTCACTTGGAAAATGGCTTTCAAAATGTTGATGCAGCATTTCCCAGACATCCACCAGTAGTTGGACAGCTTTACCTGGTGGTTGTAGTCTCTGATTTCTCCTTGCTCAAGCTCCTCAGTGAGCAGGACCAGGGACTGATTGCTGGCAAGTGGACTCCTCCTGAGGTCTTTGGAGCTCAGAGAAGAAGCCTCCAGGTTTGCAGAAGGCTTCTTGTTTTCACCAGAGTCTCCAGCAAGGCCTTCTAGGCTGTAACTAAAGGGAAAGCACAGAGGTCAGATGCTGCCTAACTCTTAGGGACCAGGGTCTTTCAGCACAGAGCACCTGCAAACGTCAAACACACAGCAGGCACTGAAGTGTGCAGATAAAAGCAGGTGCTACTCCTCAGCATGTTCTTTTTTTCTTCAGAGCAAACAGCAACATCTTTGTGCTTCTAATGAGACATAAAGGTTTGTTCCTTGCTTGAACAACCATTGAAGCTCCTGGTCAATTGCCTTTCCTACTGTTTTTTTTTACTCTTCTTGAGTGGTGCACATGAAAATCCAGAAACACCCCTTCTAAGGATTTTAGCATTTCTACATATTCTCTTTGCTAACTTTTTATTAGGCCCTCCCTTGGAATAAAGCCACCCAAATCAAACTACCTTGCATAGCATGATGCTGCTTGTCCTGGACCAATACCTCTCCCAGCAGCCACATCTGCTGCTGTAACACTCATCTCTGCAGCCACATCCTCTGAATCTATTTTAAAACTGCACAGTTTTGGCACTGATAATGTAATTTATTCTGCCAAAGCCAGTTTCTTTTTCACCCATGTTGTGGTTTTGTTTTTAAATTCAGTAAATGTTGTCTCCATCACCCAATCAATTTTATCATCTACTGAGAGAGCTAGGTCTTGCCCAGCAGAGCTGAGCAATAACTCAAAGCTAAGTAAAATACTAAACTTTTGCTTGCAGATCTGTTAGAAATAAAACATTTGGCCAAACTCTGTAGAGACAGGTGCTGATAGACAAGTGACCTCCACAGAAGAACATTAATACACTCTCCTCTCACCTACACAAAACACACCCTCTCTCACATGGGACTATTTAATCTGATAAATGGTGCCCTAATATTCTGCTTCTGACCCTCTTGCTCCTTGTGCCCAACCATCAACAAAACTGCTGAAATGCCAGTGTGGGCTCACTGGGTGAAGATTTACAGATTCCCCTGCCAGCACAGATCCATGGCTAATCTTTGATTTGATACTAAGTCCCAGCCCTACCCTGGATTTATATCCCAACCCGAGGCTAATCATGACATCTCAGTGGTGAACAAGCTGACATGCAAACACAGGAAAAAGAAAACATACTGCAGGCTGTACAGATGATTTAAACAACCACAGGAGCTTTAAATTCAGGCAGACTTACATAGCAGGGATTAATGTTCTGCAGTCCCTTAGAAGCATTAAAAGGCTCATAAATATGCACCTTGAAAGTAAAAACTAAATAAACTATGAATAAGAAGATTTAGTAGATCTAAAAAACCCTTTTTTCATGGTAATTAATGAGAAAAAAAAGACTGGTTGAAGCATTTATAATTTAATCTGCTTTAGGAAGATTGACACATCAATGTGTATCAAGAGCAGGCATTTAAGAGTTTATTCTAGAACACCTGTAGGTAGAAATCAGTCCCATTTCTACTGATTATTTAGGACAGAAAAATACCTTTTTTATGTTCCAAGGTGGCAACAATGATGCTACGCAGTAGAGGAAAAAAAAAATCATGTACATGTGACAATACTATCTAAAACCTGCAAATATTAGCCCATAAAATAGTTATCAGTGATACTGGTCTCTAATTTGCTGATTGGCATATGTACACCACACATAACTAAACTGTACCAGGAAGAGCAAGTTTACTTCTCAATACAGAATAAGAGTTTTAATAGCTCTACACATAACCAGCAAAAACTGCCAGAGAAAAGCTATAAAGCCATAAAATCTGGGGGACTGGCTTCAAAACAATATTGAGGAAAGATGTGACTTGCAACCATCAATCTCAGCACTGGGACTTTCTAAAGAAGATGCAAACTTTAAGAGCCTGGGAAATTTTCATCTGTGGTGATCAGACTGTTTTTTTCAGAGAAGGTTTTACACGATTAGTCTCTCTGAAGAAAAGCCTAGGTCGTTCAATTTACAGAGAGCAAGTCCGTGTGAACTGAAATCCTTTATGAGACTGATCTGGTACAAAGCAGTGCTGAATCATATTTAATCCTGGTTTGATTTTTCTGGCTGTCAGAATTATCGTTCTGATCACTGCTGCGGAAAAAACCACGGCTTGGAGTCATCACGGAACAGAGCAGCTCAACCCAAAGGCACAGCTTCCTTAATGCCAGAGGCCAGTGGAAAGCAGCCACCACCTCCACCTGCAGCCCAGCTCTGAGGATCCACTCCCAGGGGGAATTGCTGAAAAAGCAGACCAAGCAAACAAACACGTGCACGCTTCAGCCAGAGCAGCAGTGGAGGAGGCGATGCACGAGAAGCTGACGACAGGGTGTTTGCAGTGCTCCTGCACATCGATTCATACCATACCTTCTACAAGTAAAGTCAGGACCCATGGCAATGTACTGTACGCCTGAGGGACACCAGCTCAAACTAGGAACAGCAAAAGAGGCAAAGAAAGGAAAAGGGCGGTGATTATCGGGTTGTTGTGGAATGTGGGGAACGTTAAAAGACTCTCACTCTCATGTATCTTAAAAAAAACAACAACAAACTCAGAAATAATGCAGTAGCACACGTCTGGTTGCACAAACACACCACAGTGCCCCAAATGCCTGAGGCTACCACTGAACAGGGGGCAGGACAGTCCATGCTTCCCCCAAACTGACCCCATCAGTGAGTATACAATGTACTGGAAAAAATACTCCTTGTGGGGAGAGAGGTTTTTGGGAAAAACAAGGCTAAAACATACCAAAGCCAATTTGTAATTAAACACACACAGCCATTGTGTTAGTAATGATTAGTATTCTCCTGGTAACACTCATCCTCAAATCAGAAAAAGAATCCCTCACAGGTATTTCATAGTGTAAGTCCTCTCCATAGAAATATTAATAACCTCAGGCTACACTTAGAAAAATAAGGAGAAAGACACATTTTTAAATGCTGCACAGCCAGTGCAAGAGGCTGGAAAATAGGCTAATCTTACTATTAACTTGGGATTAAATCAAGAGTGCTTCTATCTAAAAGACCTTTCAGTTCCCATTCCCCAAAAGAGTCCCAAAGTTGCATCATGGAAGACATTAGAAATGCAAATACAGAATGCAAATATTTTGGTTGTTATTTTAGACTGCTTTTGTTATTTTTTCTCTGTTAGCTCGTGGCCCAATTGCAGGTTTTGCAGAAACAGAGAAATCCATCTTCTTGTCAGCTATGACATTTATATGATCCCTAAATCCTGAAAAAGCTGTTCAGGAAGCACACGTTGTCTGAAGGGAAATTTGCATAAACACAGGTCTCAGGTCCTGGTCTGAGATCCATGCAAGGAGGGGACATGGCCAGAGCATGTTTTGCTCCATGACAGGACCCTATGAAAGGGGAAGAACAAATTTAACCGTTCCTGGACAAGGAACTGTGAGTGCCAGAAGCCTCTGAGGGCACAGACCAAGATTTAAACCCACTGAATGCATCATGTCATGACAAGTCCTCATATTGTTTCCACACACAGTGCAACACTGGAAATATTCTATAAGGGTTTGACAACTGGAAACATTCTGGATGCTCAATGGTAAAGTTCAGATAACTGCTGCCTGTTTTATAAAGGATGCTACCTGGGTGAGGATACACCCAAAGCTGCACCCAAAAGCCCCCAGGTGTGCTTCACCAGTAGCTCACAGCACAGTACTGCAAACATTCTTCATGAACACATTCCTTCCCATAACATGCTAATATTTCCAAGTGCTTCATCATCCTCACCCAATTCAACCACAATGGCAGGTCTTTAAGTATTAGAGGGGGATGGCAGGGACTAAATACTTGTGAATACCTCTATGTGAAATCATAGAGGAACCAAGGCCACAGGACTCCATCACACACAATCTGCACTCTCAGGCCTGGGTTCAGCCCCCCAGTGGGTCACTCAGATCTGCTCAGGGGCAGCTGAGAAAGCATCCCAAGGAAGGTGTCACACATCAGGACATCTGCTTGTGGCCACAAGAGATTGGCAGACCCTTTGAGACAAGCTTGTGTCACCTAGCATTCCAAAGTCACTCATTTTTGTGTGGTCCCTTTTTCGAAGGAAAGAAGATTCTCCTCATTAAAGAAACCATGTAACAATTACACTAGACTTTAAAAGATTCCTCTATTCCTGATCACTGCCATGTTATGGTGATGATCCCAAATGCTAAAACTGCAGGGGAGGGAAGTAGAAAAATAGAGGGAGGGAAGAAGAGGAGCCCTACATATGTAGGACGAAGCCCAGAAGTGTTAAGATCTCAAAGGAGGAAGGAAGGGGATCTGTTGACAAAGGCTGTGGAAAGCATTCTTGCAGAATCCCAGTCCTGTGGGGGAGCCACCATAAAATCATGGAAAGATCAATTCAGAGCATGCAAAACTCCTTTACAGAGGACATCCTGGGGAGGAGGATGAGCTTTTATCTACATCAGCCTTGTGGGAGAGCACAAACTGTTGGAATCAGTTTCAGGCTCCTGCTCCCCAAGTGGGGTTAGAGAGGATGATTCCAAAATGGTTTGGAGATCAGAAAAAGTGTGAAAATGTTTATGAAAGGATTATCACACATATCAGATATGACCAGGTATTCTAGACCATTTTCTTTATTCTACTTGTAAGCTCATTGTTTCAGGATATTTTGACTCTAAATACTAACACAGCTCCTACAGAGGAGCCTTAAGAGATCACTGATAAAAAGAAGTACATTTGCATGAGCTGAGAAGACAAGCACTGGACTGCTTCCTGCACTGATGCAAATGGAAGTGGCTTCTTAGAAGTAAAAAAGGTTTTTTCTTGTGTATTTTTAACACAATTCTTTTTTAAGAGTGCTCTTTTGAACGGTACAGCACTGCTAGGGTTCACTGATGCTGATGCACGGTGAGGCACAGTGATTTTTTTGGTCATAGCATCATTCTTTTCACATGTGGGAATGTGGTAGTTTGTTTACACACACATCACCCCATCCATATTTCCAGTGAAGTGAAATCCCAAGTTAACCTGGCACAGGAGGGGAGGTAGCAGGCTATGGGAAGTGAGACAAGGTTGAACCACTGAAGGGCAGAAGTTCAACCCCTCTTTTTTCTTTAGCCTAAAATGTCTAAGTGTGGACAGTCCACACCTGCTGTCAAAAACTAGGTATATATTTATATACAAATAACTAATGCAAAGGTTACATGAGTGGAACTGCATATCCATGGGATGGATGAGAAATTGAAAGTTTGTTATAGAGAGGAAAAATACATGGAAGTAAAGAGAAAAACACACCTTTTTTTCTCTTTGTTAGGCAGATGGTTATAAAAACCATCACAAGAGCAAAATTAAAGACATTAAATTCAACCAGCTGCAGATCTTCAGAGTGTTCTCCAACTCTGAGATCGTGTCTGACCCATCCCCTCCCCTAGCTGCCCCTCCTGCGAGTCTTGCCAGGAGTCTCTGATGTGCTTTAAATCCAAATCACACACATGCTCCCAGGTAAACTGTTTTAACCAACTACAAATCTTACACATGGCGAAGGTCAACAAAATCGTATCTGAGATTTCTTTTCATTACTGACATAATGTTCTGGAGAAAACAGCTCGAGCATGTGCTCTGTGGGGCACAAACCCTGCCCTGGGTCAGACTGGAGAGAGAAAGCAGCCAGGTGGGATGCACAGCTCTAATGCCAACACTTCCAGAGGTCCTACAGGTTTTCTAACATGAGAGGATGGAGTTAGTAGACATTCAAACACAAAACAGTTAGTCACATTAGTTGGCTTTGTACCTTCTCCTATGAATGGGAGGCTTCTTTATACCATCCCCCAGAATTCGCATTGAACTGAAAATGAATCATGGAGAATGGTCAGCAGCTTGAATGAAAAAAAGATTAACAAATGGCAGCTAAAGGATTAATATCCCCAACACACAGACAGAGGGAATGGACATACAGGGAAAACATGAAATGAAATATGAAGGGAAGCAATGAGTCTCTGTGTTTCTCCTCTTTTCTACAAATAAATCTGGGGTTTGGTTGGTTTTATTTTGTACAGAAAGAAGGCTGCACAGGTATTGACCATGATGCAACTCTGCTGCTGCCAAAGCCAGGTCAGTTTAAAGTTTAGATAAGGCCAAACTCTTTGATAGAAGCTGTTAGCAGCAGTGATTAACATCAGCTCCAGTTTTGCAGTGCTTAATCCATCAGTGAAACATGAGGGTGTTTCTTTCCCCAGCCTGGATGTTTAACACACTGCAGCATTGTTGAAAGACAGGCATTTCAAATCTGCTACGAATGTCAGGAATTAACTGAAGGATGAACATCCTTTTGTGCAGCCTTGTTGGTTTTCTTTGTATTTTAATAGCAAAATGTGGGCACAAGGACTATCTGTGAAGTGCATTTGAGGAAAGATGGGAAGTGAAGGGGATTGAGCATTTTTTCACATTTCATTTAAGATTATTATTTTTTCATCCTGATCTTTTCTGTGAACAAATTTTATACTCATCCCTCTAAGAAACAGGAAACACATAACGGTGGAAAAGATCAAATTTTACAAAAGGCTGATTTTTTTTTTTCTGTAGGCTTTTTGGATCCTGTATCAGCACCTTTATCTAAGCTTGACTTAGCTATCTTTGTCATCAAGGTTAGGACTATTTTTGGTGTGGATGAGGGCTGCAAGTGGTTGCTGGGGCAGGAAGCACCTCTCAGAGCCCAGCTGATGGTGCACTCTGTCACCCCATTCCTCTTCCAGGCTGCACAGCCCAGTTCTAATCCTTGGGCTGGTTTTGGTGGCAATTCAACTTTATTTGGTTATTTTTCTCCTCATTTAGTGAGCACAAGCTGCTCACCTACAGAGCAGAGAAATGCCAGAGGAGGGGAGGGAGCACAAAGGGTGGTGGGAGCCGCACAGATCCAGCCAGACAAACCTCAGCCAACCTTGTGCTCAGTGTTACTCCACTTGCAAGGTTTGCAAAAGTCAAGTTACAATAAGGACTTTTCCCCTTCAGCTGGAAAAGCATCTACTGCATGTGAAATAAATGAATAAGCAAACACTCAGAATTTAACTGACTCGAGTGGAAGTCACTTGTTTGCACTTCCTCAGTATTTGTTGTTTCGCACTAAGCAACGAGTCTCAATAGCACAAGAGCCATATATGAAAAGAACAAAGAAAACAACAAAACGACACTGCAAATAATCCAAATTCCTTTCTAAAAGAAGCATAAAAACAAACATGAATTTAATCAGCACCACAGACCCACCCAGCTTTTCTTTTAATTCCCCGACATGACAGCTATCCTTATGTAGCTGCAGCTGTATGTGAGAACACATGAGAAGAATTACTGTTCCTTTAACTCAGATTTTCTTACATTTACAGTGAATGTATTTTCCCATATCACAAACAGCCTCCAAAGTGTGATGTAGGAGAATTTAACCCCATCTGTTCAGTGTTAGCAGTGATTGCCAGCTATGCAGTTTATTACCCTCAGAAATCCTGATGCATCAGGCCCTACACTCAGAAGTAAATCTCCCCAAATGAGTTTATGAGCTTATGGACTCATTGTTTCATCTGCAGGTATGCTGACTCTTTTGTCACTTTAAAAAAATTGATGGGCATTACTTGACTTATTTAAATATTACCTGGGGACCAGGAATGAAGCCCAAAAAAGATGACAGTGTTCAACAACAACAATAAAAATATTTCACTGTATGCTACTTAGAGGATCCCGAATGGTTTTCAAAATTGACTTTAAAACCTGAAGGGTCTCTGATATTCCTTTAGTGAAACCCTAATTTTGCTGCTGTGTGTAAAGGATGCAGACATTCCTGATGGGAGGCTGCTGCCTCTCCCTGGATTATCCAAAGGGGTCAGTAACCATTTTCAGGAACCTGCAGTGAGTGGCCAGTTTTAGTTTAATGCCATCCAGCCCCACATGCAATGGCTCTTTTTCTGTCAACAGCAGAATGTTTGCCATGAGGACACAGCAGGCAGCCAGAGAGCAGCACTGCCCTGCACACCTGGGCCTGCAGCCTCTGTGAGCTGCAGGGAGGATGTGGCACCCTGACCCTGCTAAAGCAACTGGCAATTCCTGCTCTGAAAGCATTAAAGCACATTAAAAACACTGAGTCCACTGGACTCAGATTACACAGGATTTGGCCTCAAGAATCTCACAGCCCAAATGCTGAACAGTGCAGGGCATGGCAGGGAACCTCACACCAATTACTACTTTTTGGCGTGCATCTTCCTTTATTTCATCTTCTTCCCCACTGAAATGGGGGACTGAGCAACTTTTCTTCCCACAGTGACTTGGAAGCAGCATGGACACACTCACACGGTTTGTATCCCTCTCCCCCTTGCACCCTCTGAAAGAAGAGACGGGAAAACTTCCTTTTTGAATCTTCCTGACTAACACCAGGGACATCGGTGATGAGTTAGGTGAAACTTACTGCCCATGAGAGACTGAGGGGGAAACAGGGAGGACCCATCTCACCATTATGAAGAGTTTCCACAGAATTTTTTTAAACCCCAGTGCCTGTGTTATCTCTTAATACAATCAGAGCAATAATGGTCATGTTTATTCTGTGGGCAGTGAGATTTAACACTCCAATAATTCCTTTGTACAGAAAGGGGGTGTCACAGTTCTAATGGAAGACCTGTCCTGAGGTAATTCCATTTACTCTGGAAAGCTCAAGCATACTGCAGGTATTAAGCACTTTAATCCTGAAAGTTAATTTAAGAAAAAACAAACAAACATACATTAGGAGATTGTCTTAACCTCTTCAAATGAAAAAGAAATAATCAAAAGTGACGGTGCTCACTTCTGATAAACTCTTCAGTTTTATCATGCCAGGTTAAAAGCTCAGATAAATATGCATGAGTGGGTGCAGAGTAAATCAAAGCAGCTCCTCACTCACCTCCTCTGATTGATTTCTGCCTCGTTGGTGGCATTCTTCCCCGGTCCCCAGCTGTGCCGGCGGAAAGGAGACAGCGGCCGCATGGAGCTGCGCAGGACGGAGGAAGGCGCGGGCACGTCCGTGATGCTGTCCAGCTCCTCTTCCTTCTCTCCTCCCTCTGAGGACACCATGTTGGTGCAGCTGCCATCCAGGCTGTGCCTGTCCTTGGGCTGGGCAAAGCTCCCCATGGGTGGGAAGGGGAGGGACGTGTCGCTGCCCAGGGATGAGTTCCTCTCCAGGGACATTGTGTCATCTGCAGAGGAGCTGGAGCTGGTGACATCACATGCAGACTGCTCCTCTTCAGGCTGCTGTGGTAAGAAAAATGAAAAATAAATTAAAGTAGAATTATAGACTGGTTTGGGTTGTAAGGGCCCTCTAAAGATGAGCTAGTCCAACACCCTTGCCGTGGACAGGGATATTGTTCGCTGTATCAGGTTGTTCAGAGACCCATCCAGCCTGGCTCTGAACACTTCCAATGAAGTGAATACACTTAATATTTTAAGCAAATGCAAATATTTTATATTTCACACGAGCTGAGAGATTTCTTAGTCGATGGCATGAGGCAAATTAACCATCATAGAACTGAGACTTTTTGCTCTGGTTTCAGAAGAGCAGGGTGACCTTTTCCAACCCACAAGTCCCTGGCTGCCATTACCCAGGCTCCCAGCCCAGATCCTCTGCCTGCCTTCCTCTCCCCAATTCTATATTTCATCTTGCACAGCAAATTCTGTTCCTCTCACCATTTCTGGCTAAACCTGTTATCAATCAAGGTGCCATAAAACTGCCAAAGGTTTACTGAGAGATAGTAATGGGGAAGGGGGTTATCACAGCTCCTGATGACAAACTCCAGCCTCTCCTGTGGGACTGGGATGGCCTTGTAGAGCTCAAGGGCAATGCACTGTTCCACTGCATCATGCAACGCAAAAGGGAGAATTACTCAGTAGCAGAAAACAGACAGAAAAAATTAAAAGTTTAATTCCCCATCCCCAACTACTTTCCATTAAACCGCAAGTTAATACTAGGGTTTGCAGCATTTTTCAAATCCAACTGTCATCCAAAAATATTGTTCTACAGGATCAGCCACCCTGTATTAGAGCTTTTGAGTCATACTGTAATTTTTGGGTTTCATCTGCTCCAAAAGCAGTATGTAGAAGCCAAACTGGCTCTCTCTGGCCAAAGGCCACGTGCTGACCATACAGCCCCAGAAGAGCCCGTGCATATTCTGTGTTCCCTGTGGCCACCATAAAAAACACAAGCATCTCTCTGACATCACCTCCAGCCTGAAATGGTGTTTGCCCTGAGGGACTGACATGGGAAGTTTCAATTTATCCTCCTGCAGAGCCCTGTGCTGTATCATTTGAAAGAATAACAGGCAGAGTGTCAGGCCATGCACAAGAGAGCGTTCAGCAATGCCCTGGTGGTTGTGTCCTCACACAGTGGGCTCAGGGGGCTGGGCAGGAGCTGAGTGCCCCAGGGGCTGCAGGCTGCCAGCAAGCACTTGGCAGAAGACAACTGGATACAAAATCCTGTTCTTGGAAGGGAAAGATGGGCATCAGACTCCACGGAGGGAAGGATGAGCAGGAGTGATGTTAAACAGCCCAGAGACTTTTGTTTTTCTGTGATTTATTTGAGGGGCACACACTATAAGCTTTTTATTTAACTGAACAAAAAGAAACTTCTAATTGAACATTTCACTATTTAGAGAGAAGCCTTGTTCCAAGTTTAGTTATTTTTCACTCTTAGTTCAGTTTAATAAGTATACAATAACGTTCTGAGATGGTTTAACAAAATGCTGTCACACTGCTGCCCTTCTCACATCCACCAAAGGGAAACAGAGGGAAAAAAAAAAAAGACAGCATCCATAGCACAACACCAAAGTACAAGAACCTTTTAAACACAAAGCATAAAAAAATACACTTAAAATACATCCCTCCAAAAACATTCACTTTGTGTTAAGGTATGTCAAACATTAATAGTGGATTTCAGAAAGTTATGTTCTGAAAACTAGTAAACTATTGGATTTGATACATTTGAATAGGAAGCTGAGGTTTAAAGAAAAAAGAATGAAATGGAAGCCCTGTGAAGTTTTTGATGATGTTCAGCAGTATTCAAGATAATCTGATATTTGTGTGAGTCATGATGTGATCTTATTGAATTGCTTAAATACAGACAAATCAAGTAGTCATTATGTGGATAACACTCCTACAGTGGAGGAAAGAGTCTGCCACTTTTCCAAGACAGAAAAATACTGTCAGACATTAGATCAGACTGGATGGGGTTTTGGAGCAACCTGGTCTAGTGGAAGGTGTCCCTGCCCACGGCAGGGGGCTGGAACAAGGTGAGCTTTAAGGTCCCTTCCAACCCAAACCATTCTGAGACTGGGGCAGCAGAGCAGGAGAGGAGAGGACTGACTTCACCCCATCAGCTGTGTGAGGTATGGGAGAGTTTGGAAACTTTCAATCCAGATGGAAATCTAGAAACAGAACACCAAATGAAATAGGGAGGAATTAGAGTAAAAGGAGGGATTTTTATTTCCCAGATGAGAATACTGCTCCAGTTTGAAATGCGCAACAAAATCCACCTCCCTAACAAGGAAGATTTAGGGATTTTATCGCAAAATGCAGTTCAAGGAGACATTTGAGAAAATCTGAAAAATACATTTGGTCCATTTTAACTTTTACCTTGAGCATTCGACTGACAACAGAGCACAATAAACAATTCCCTTGAACTTGTGGCCCTTGCTTATTCTTCTAAAAATATTCAGCCATCATTTCAATGATTTTTTTTTTTTTTTTGAAACAAAGGAAAACAGTTAATATGAAAGACGACTCTGTCTGAAAAATGCCAAGTGTGGCTGACACGTCTAAAACATCTATATTGTAGTCACCACAAAAAATCAGCTGTCTGGCCAGTAAATATGCATTGCTCTTTAATCCTATTTGAGGAAGAAAATATCATGTTTGAAGAACAGAATGAGCTCTTTTCTTACAGGAAAAAGGATATATTAAAGAAATACTAATTTTCTTCAAGTTAGGCTTGCTGGATTGCACCTCAGTGAATTCAGGGCATAACTGTGACCATAAACCTCGTGGCCAAAAAGAGCCTTTGCAGATGTTTGCTAATTGGCATTTCCTTTGCCTTCAGTATTTGCCAAGAAGCTTCTAAGAAAAAATAAGATAAGGTGCAAAAGTGAGTATTCTGAGAAAGAACACATGTAAATCTCCATGAATAGGGATAAGAGAAATCACCGGGATGGTGGGGGTATAAGATAACTTCTTTAGCTAAATCCCTCCACTGTAGGAGGTCTTGATAAGGGGAATTTAAATGTTCTTTCAATCATTTCCATGATGACAACATGCAAAGTGCTGACACAAACTTTCTGTGTCCCCTGACCTTCAAAGACATTAAAGGTGTTAGAGTATTTTAAAAAAAGAAGATGAAAAAAATTAAACCTTGGAATCTTGAAGTTTATTTGGAATACCATTCCACTAAAGGAGCAAACACCTTTAGTTGGCTTGATATACATAATCCAGCAGAGTAATTTTTTATTTGGATTTGCCCGTGGCTCCAGGTTCCTTAAAATTAACTTATTAACTTCAACAGTGGCCTTCTATTAATTATTTATCATAACTTTTATGATTTGGAGTGGAGGTGAAAGCCTTTTCCTTAAAATTTTTATTCCTTTGGGTTTTTTGTTTGTTTTGTTTTGTTTTTTGCACAGCTGTTGGGTTTTTTTTTGTTTGCTTTTTTTTTAAGAGATACAACTCTGGGAAAAAAAAAAAGCAAAACATTTATATATTTGTGTCTTTTCTTTGAGCAAACCAAAACAAAGGCAGAAATTAAACAATGTTCAAGACTGAGTTGCAATCCCTTCCTTTGGTGATGATCTGTGGGTTCCTGACTCCCTTCAGCTGAATCATTTCCCAAGAGGCACATTAAAAAGCTTCCCACTAATGCTGGACTTCAGTGGCTGGTTAAAAGTTAAGATGAGCAAAGCACGTGGGCTCCACCCCAGGATGTTGCCAGATGATTGTGAGAAATGACCTTATGCAGCATTAATCATTCAAGAAGGAGGATGCTGCAAAGCCTGCCCAGATGGCTGTCTGGGACAGAGAGGGAAAAGCAGGATGATGAGGACATGGGAATGAATGCTGATGCAAAAAAAAATTTAAATGTTTCGCTGAAGCCATAGACTTGGAAACAACTTCTGCATCTCATTGACAGCCTGTAAAGTCTGAAAAAACAGGCAGGTTTTAGTGCTAAAGCTCCCTGAACCCAAGAGCTCATGTTCCACAGCTGAGCACACGTCCTTCAGAGAAAGAAATGAAACAAGCACAGGAGAAGGGAAGGAGATGGGAGAGGAGCACACAGCAAACACCAGGGACAGGGTGAGGCACCTGCAGATCCTGTGACTTCACAGACCCAAATTCTTCATGGTCCTGGGACAGAACCACCAGGGCTTTCAAACTCTGAATTTCAAGTGATGTCTGAGGAAGCAGCACAAAGACGCTGGACAGACAGCAACTTGCTATTCCTACATTTATTTTAATGCATTAAGCAGTTAGCATAGAAGTAGTTATTTCTACAATAAAAAAACCAAAAACAACTCTAGTAGACAAAAGTTCAACTCTTTCTCCACAGAAAGGGGAAACAAGAACAAAACTAGCAATAACAATAATCACCATGACACTGAAAGGTTTGAGATCCTCTTTTTGTTCATCAACATATTCTGTCTCTTCCCAATTTGATACAGAAACTGTACTATTTCATAGGTTTATAAATGATCAACTACAGCCAAGACAAGCTTCTTACAATATTTTTCGGAAAAAAGATTACAGCCACCACTTATTTTGGTGGTCATTAAAAATATCTATAATTTGCATTTCTACCACCTGGAGTCAGTACTGTAAAACCAAATAGATTTAATTAAGGAAAAAGCTCACAACACTAAATTAGTTTTTCTCATCTGCTAGAAATAACTTTACCTGCAGAAAAAATACTCAGATAAATCCTGAGAAAGAAGACAAGGAATCAAATTGGTCAGGAAAACAAATGCAAAGCAACTGAAGTTGAGATTAGCTTTGAGTAACTTCCTAAACTCAGCTCAGGAACCTTTTCAAGCCATTTGAAGACAAAGTCTGCAACCCACTGCATAATGAGAACAATGCAAAGGATACCAAATTAAGAAATTCCCTTTCAACAAAGCAAAAAAATTCCTGCCTCTGCCCACTCTCCACTGGCAACTGAAGCTCTGCTTTCCCCACCACCTCCTCCCTTCACTGTGGCATCCCTGCTGCACTGCTCTACCTATTCTGGTTACATTTTAATCTTTCTTTCTGGTATTTGGAGAAGGAAACTTTCCACATAAGAAAGGGGAAAAAGCTAAAATTCTGTAGAATATAAAATTTGCTGTGTTCCCACTGCACTCCTCTCCCACACTTTCCCATACAAGCATTACATCAGGCTCAAACGGCAGCTGGCTGTCGCAATCCCTGTCACTCTACACAAGGGAACTGAAGACAGCCTGCTCTTCCAAACAGCCTTGTACTCTGACATTCCAGGGTCCCAGATCCTTTTGACACTAGGATGGGAAAGGGTGAGGCTGGTGAGCTCTGTGCCCTACCACATGCATTAAGGATGACTTTCCTGTTCATTTATAGCACATGAGATCACTTAGCCTGGCTGTGGTGTTTCCCATCCTGCTGGAAAATATTCACCACCATCTGATTTGACTTCAGCAAACGGAATTCTCTTCAATTCAATACATTTCTCAGAAAGCCAGTGTGAAAGCTACTCTGAGAGTTAAGTTTTTCAGAGTAGGAGCTGTGCCTGCTCAAACCTATGAGCTGCAGCTGAATTAAGGAGTGGGGTTTTCATGGCGACCACAGTGATGGCTGCTCTAAAGAAGGGTCACATCCCTTTTGATTCTACATCACTATATTCTTTCTGGGTGCTTCTTCATCATCTGCTTATGCCAAGAATACAAATTACAAGCAAGATGACTCTTCAAGAGCAAAAACCTGATGACCCCCTGAATAAATTCAGGCTGCTTTGACGTAGATGCAAAAGACTGATGCCAAAGGAAGGCATCCTCTGCTCAGGAGGCCAGCTCTGTCTCACGTCTCTCCCACTCCTCAGCAGCACAAAGCATACAGGGATGACTAAGGTTAGCAATGACTTCTGTTGTTGATTTTAAGCAAACCTAAAAACACTTTCATTCTACTTGCACGCAAACAGGCATTAGAGGTATGTCACCTAGGCAACAAAACTATTCCCTGGAATTGGCCTGAAGTATTTAGAATGAGTGTTTCCTTCCTATGACACTGCATTTACAGAAGAACACTGGTTCCTCTGAGAATTACAGCATATAAATCTTAAGGTGTCAGAAGAGAGGTCACAGTTTGCTGGAGAAAAGCTCTTTGTTACATGAGTTAAAGATGGATTTCATATCGTCTGTGCAATCCCTAATGACCTTGCAAGAAAATCCACCTTTTCAACTGTTCCTCTGGTGCCTGATTTACTTTTGGAAAGACAAAACTACTTCCATTTTTTTAACCATTGGGGGCTGCACAGCTTTTGGAATTCTGCTGCAAGTAAATACATCCCTCATGTTGCTGCATCCGAGGAGGAGACCGGATCCTTCCCATCTCTTTGGTTCCAGGATAATCACTTCCAGGTTTCCAGCTCACCAGTGAAACCAAGATGATCTATCTGTGTGTGCTGTATGGGTTTATCAGAGGCTTTTTTAACCATATCCCAACCAGGCTTTCTTACCTTCCCAAAGACAAGGTCTTCCATCCCATCGCCGGGCATGGGGAAGAGGTCAGACTCACTCCCAGACTCTCGTTTAAGACCACCCTGTGACGAGGCACAGACGCTGCTCAGCCCATCCTCCAAGAAGTTCTCACATTCTGCAGGAGCAAAGCACAAAAAGTCACAACTTGAGGCTTTCTGCAGCATCCACACATCAGACCCGCATTCTCTCAGTGAATTCCAGGATTTAAATCATATAGCTTTTATTTAGAAAGCTTTATAAATTTGTTCATGTCCCAAAACTGCCTGTGAATTCTCAAATGATTTATTCCAGAGTTTAGAACTCCTTTTGAAGTGCATCACTGAAGTACATGGTGTAAAGTGAAATTCTCCATGAAACAGCTGTAAACACTTGTAGCTTGAGGTGCTGATAAATATACTACATATGAGGTAACCCATACAGTGCATAATGGAATGTTTCCTATTGACTACAACAACTGAAAAATTAGATTCATATTCAATAAATATAAAAATGTAACTTGTCAATATTTGCTTTCTTTCTCAAAGAATCAATTCCCTCTAAATGCCAAGGTGCTTTTAGTGCACATTTGGACAATTATTTCATTTCTTCTTCTACACTCCTTACTGAAAAAGCACTGGTGTGAATTCCATGACAAGCTTTACTTTTTCAAGATTCAAAAAAAATTAAATTATTTTTAAAAAAACTTTCAGCTTTCACAACTCCTTACATTGAAATATAACCATTTTGCATCTGTTTGTTTTCTCAAATGCTTCCAGCTGTTTGCACTGGGTTAATCAGGAGTACAGAACTAGACTGCAGCCCCTGCAAAAGCCCTCTTTCCAAAACCTTTAACAGATAAGTTTTTGTCTAAGAAACGCCTGTATATATTTTATTTGTTCATCCTGCAGGCCAAAGTATTATTGACAATTTTGGCAAAAATTGAACATTCATGTTTCCCAGCTCAAAATATTTTCTAATTATTAGAAATTATTATCTAGTTTGTTTGGTTTTGTTTGGTTTTTCTTTTAAAGAAAGGTGCTATTTTGCATCTCCTCTAACTAAACAGATCCAAAATGTGCTCAGCTGTCTGGAGAAGAGCCAGGGCAATAAAATATTAGTTCACTCTTAAATTATACCTCACTAACTCCATCCTTGGTGAATTCAAACTTAAACATCAGTGAAAGGACGACAGGTTTGAGTAGCTTAAGGTCACCTCTTCACCTTCCCCATCCTTAATCTGTGCCTGACAGCAGCTATAGAACACTCCAGCCACATCCCAACTGATGGAAGAGACTCCACTTCTGGAGAAAACAGCATTACACTGAGAGTGGTGGGGCTGTCCCCATTCAGGGCAGGGGGAGTTGAAGCCAGTCAGAAACCCCATTACCCCACAGAGGAATTTCCACACTGTAGAGAATTGGAAAAGCACTTATTGGATGCTGCAGCTGCTCCTGTTCCCCTTTCAGTAAACCTGGAAAATCTGAACTGCTTTTCCATCACCGAGGGGGAGAAGGGAGGGGAGAGAAGAAGGGGGGGAATGAAGGGAAAGAAGAGACGGAGCGGCTGTGAGGACGCGGGCCAGGGGCTGTTCATCCAGCTGGCAGCCAGCACAGCATGTCCACAGCCCAGACTGAAAAACAAAGGGGTTCCAGCCACGTTCCACTGGAAAATCAGTGGGGACAGCTCAGATGTGCTGAGGGATGGATATCTCACCCTGAGGATAAAGCATGAGAGGCAGTGAAGCCTCCTCTGCAGGAGCCTCCCAGGGGCAGAGGAGATGAAGCAGAGGGGAAGGATGAGGAGCAGGGTGATGGGGACCCCTCCACACACCTCAGCTCATTTGTGCTGAGAAACTCATTCCCAAGCCTTCTCTTCCCTACATTCTCCTTCATTTTTGGTTGGAGGTGTGCATATTTTCTCCATTTTCTCCCTCCCCTTTTCTCAGTTTGCTGGGCTTGTTTTGAACTGCACAGACGCCGCACAAAGCCAGGCTCTGTGTCTCACACCCCTGGCAACACTTCTGTGCATGATATAAAGGCAGAAAAATACAGAAAAAAAAGCCCTAGGAAGAACATTTCCAAGCAATCTCGTCTGTACATTTTCCAAACCCTTGTGTCCTCCAAGCCAGGGCTGAGCCCTTCAATTCCATATTGATAACTACGTATCTGCTATACTCCTCTGCACACCTAATTTCAAAAGCATAGACAGAAAATGAGATGCTCCAATTTCTGGAACTGCCTTCTAAGATCTGAGGTCTCTGTCCTTCAGCAGATGAAAAAGGCCTAATTCCTTATCAAGTACTGTATTTTTAAGTTAGCCACATTGACAGCTTGTGGTTTTATTGCTGTTAAGTGTTGCCAGATTTTTCTTGCCCTCTCTACACTGCCCAGTACCACAGAGCAGCAGGAGGATGCCTGAGCAGTAACAATATTATTTCTAGCAAGGCCAGAACCTGCATAACCTGATATCCTTCTGCTGCTTCAGTCCATCTGGAGAGCACATTTACTTAAAAATCTATCTCTTTATGCTTTTGTTACAGACATGTATTACTGTAATTATTAATATAAATCTGTATTTACAGCTACCTAATTACATAATTAATATTATATTTCTATTGTGTAATATTGCATTAGATAATTAATAGGTGTGCAACTGATAGTGATATGTAGGAATATCTGATTATATATCTGGCAAGTCAAATGAGTCCATGTGGTTTTGCAGACAAATGGTTTGCAGTAACTATTGCCTGAAGCATAAAAATATTGTACCAAGAGGCAAAGGATTCATAGATACAATTAGTAAAGAAGAGATATGGCAATACCACAGGTTCTCCTGTAAAAAAACCTCTTGAAACAGCTATTGCTGTTAATAACTCTTCTAAAAAGGGCAGTATTTTTGTTTGCTTGTTTGTTTGCTTTTAATAAAAAAGCAATTATTTAACTTTGATGTGAGCTAGAACTTCTATTTAGGATAAACCCCTCAGGTCACTAACCTTTTAGCCTACAGACTAAAAGGCTGAGTTTAAATTTTGCATTGACACTCAGCCTTTTTCTTTCAAGTCTCTCAGATAAACTGAAGGAGATTTGGGTGAGACCACTGCTCATAAGGACAGCAGGACAAGAAGCCTCCTCTCCATGAACAGCCAAAGTGAAGTCCCTATTCAGGGCCCTGATAAATTACTCTTTTTGTTTCAAACATGCATAATCCAGTGAAAGAAAATGCTTTTTTTCTTATCTTGGACACCAACCCTTCTTTGAAGCTTGCCCAGACTAGATTTTCTGTCCCAGTGGAAGAGCCAGAAAGCACCAGGCAGCACGCAGGGCTGGGATGGGAGCTTGGCACAGCCGGTGGGCAGGGTGTGGGAACGATGGCTCTGAACAGCCTTCCTGCTTCCTGAGCCTGGAATCATGGCAACTTTCAGAGGGAGAGGAAAAAAATAAAAATCTCAAGCCACTGATTTGGGACTAAATATGGATTTAGGAGTTCAAATTTCTGGCTTTTTTTTCTTTTATCGTATTATCCTTCTAGGTAGAATCCATGTCTGTGTGCCCCCCACAACATCTTTCAAGTTAATTTAGTGAAAAAAAAAAAAAAAAGGGAGGTAAAATCAAAATACTGAAGCACTTGAAATGCAGAGTTACTTGAGACGGTGACACACCACACAGCTCCCTGCTAGTCAAGTGCCGCAGCCATGTGCTAACAATGACTCACAGCACAGTCATTACACAGTTTCTTTAATTTATGTGTTTTCCCCATCCGGCACAGGATGTCAAAAACAGGGAGAAAAGGAGGGATAGGAAAGGTGAGGAGGAGGGCTGCTGGTCTGGAGCTGTGCTCAGCTCACCTGGAGACTCCCGAGTCCGCTTGCGCTCCAGCAGGGAGGGGTCGGGACATGGCTCCAGCGGACACCAGCTCTCGCGGTTTATCTGGAAAACACATCACAGCACATCAGAGAAAGGCCATTCTCACCAGCACCCTTGTTAGCCTCCTCTCCAATATCCCTCTGCATCAACCAGCAGATACAGAGTTATGGCTTCATTTTTCCCAATAATAAAAATGTCAAAAGTAACATACGATTTTTTTTTTTTTTTTTTTGCAGCACTAAACAAACCTTTAGAATATGCCAAAACCCTTTATTTCTCCACGGAAAGTTTGATTTGAAGGTCAAACTCCTGCTCAAGGAAGGAGTTCAGAGGGAGGATGAGTCAGTGTTTAAGCTACTAGTAGAGGACTGGATAACCTCGGCTTCAAGTCCCACCTCCACCTGTAGCGGGACTGCAAGAAAATATTCTTCTGCTTTATGCCTCAGTTCACTACCTACAGAATAGGAATTCCTTACCACCCATATTGTTGTACAGATAATTAGCTCAGAGATATCAAAGTGCTCTAGTGATGTGGAATCGAGGGCTTGGGAGGTGCTCAGGTCATGGTGAGAAGCAGAAACACTGAGGGCTTGCATTAACTGCAATGATGATGATAGAAACACCCTTTTTAACACTAAGACACATCACATGGTTTATTTCAACATCAGCCCTTATCACCTCACCCCGTCCTTCACCCTTTCCATGACTCCCAGTCTTTCAGCAAGGATAACTGATGTGTTCTCAGCCTTCTCCTCCCTCTGCCTGTGCTTTCATCTTCCCCACTTGGGTTCTGCTGTCCAGCATTTTGACTCAAGTCTGCTGGACTATCCACAACCATTGGCTCATCCAACATTCACTTCCATCACTTTTGTCTGCAGCTGGCAGACTCTGGAAGCCCCTTTACTCTCTCTGCCATTTCTTTGAGCCAAATGCCTTTACTTACTGTCAAATGCATGCAAATCTCTACTGTCCCACAGCACAAAACCCAGAAGTTATTTCCCCTCCTGACCTGCCCCAACACACAGGATCTCACATGTTAAGTTGTAGTTAAAAGAAAGCCACTGAAATGGATGACTTAGCCTGATTTTATATGTCAATTATTTCTCCTACCCTCTCTCTGGTTTTCCTTTTATCTCCTTAAATAATTTCCTTTCCTCCCTTTCAAATATCAAATTTTTACTATTTACTTTTTGCCTCTGACCTTGTTCAAATCTCCCCCATGATCCCACTCTAGTTTTGCAGTCTCTTGCTGTATTCCCATCCCCTCAACGTTCTCCTTTCTCCTGTGTTATGAAACACACTGGTTTTGCCTCCTTATTATTTCTTTTTTAAATAAATGAAAACCAAGCCTCTCCTACCCTTGACCTGATGTGCCGCTTTGACTAATGACCCACGTCCTTGTTTCCTCTGTCACTGAGATCATGGAATGTGTTACAGCAGTCCTTGGCTGGCTCCTCCTCGCCCTGGCTGCGTCCCCGTCACCCGAGGGGCTGCTGCCAGCACCTCCGCTCACCTCCCGCTCCCCACACCACACAGGCAACCCCACACTCCCCCAGACCTGGCAGCTACTTGCCACAGCACATTTTTCTTCCTCAGGTTTTGTTCTCCTCCATACTTGTGCGATGACAAAACGGGGTTGGGAGGGCCTTTGATGGGTCAGCCAGTCCCTGCCTGCTGCGCCAAGCTAGGCTCAATTATCATCTGAGAGGGCCTAATCCAACCTGCCCTTAAAATCCTCCAGTGGAGAGCATGCCATGACCTTCCCCAGTCAGCAGCTCCTGCTGACAGAGAGAGGGAATGAACAGAGAAGTTCTGAGAGGGGAAAAATGAGCAGGAGTCTCCCCGAAGTGAAGATGATGTTGAGCTCTACCAGAGTCAGGTCTCGGGGTGACCTCAGAGCACGTCCCATCTGGATATCCCTCTCACCTCCATGGAATTTTGCAGGCTATTTTTCTTAGGGATGGTGTACACTTCGTAGCACTTACTGCTGTATGCAGATATTCACCCAAGACCCCAGCACACCCCTTTATGTACACACATCTAAGATCCCAGTGTTCCCTGCACATCTCTGCTCCACACACACCTGTATATCTATTTGCTCCCTTTTACATACAATACATCTATATTAAATGAGAGGCAGTCTTCAGGCTGAGAAAAGATTTGTAAGCAGAACTTCAAAACATTATTTTTTTTGCTTTCCAAAGCGACATAAGGCTGTTGCATTTTAACTGTTGCATGGACAGCGGGACACGTTCTGATTCTTTCAACAGCAGACACTCCCTGTTCTCAGCAAGGCTGTGTGGTATCTAACCTCAGCATCTAAATTTGACCACAGAATTTTTTCTTATTTTAGTCTTAAAAGAGCTACAAAGTCAATAAATACCACTTTATGACTGTAAAGTCAATAAACATCATGCTATTATTCTTTTCTCTCCAGACAAAGCAAAATAAATTGGCACCACACTTTTCTATATCTTATTAAAGGCAAATCTAGAGGTTGGGGCTGAACACACATAGAAGGACAAATGCAAATGTGCTCAAGTCCACACAAATGAAGGAATGACCCATTTCAGATACAAAATCAAATTCTGCCTCCTTCTGACTGACTTACACTTCCACCTTCCTCCTCACGAGTCTGACCCTTCTTAATTTTAAACAAATTACCATCAAATTCAAAGGAACTACTCCTGATTTATAATGATAACCACTACTGGAAAGCAATAATTAAATATCCCATTCAATAATTAGCAGTAAGAAAGCAAAATAGGAAGAGGTTCAAGCTGTCTGTTGAGTAAGCCATATTAGGCTGAATTAACATTATATATTTTCCTTTAATAGAACCAATTGAGTCATTCACTGAAAATGCATTATAGACATTGGCATTTTTTCAAAAAAGATTTGAGCATTTTTCCCATTTCCCAGCCAGCTCTCTCCTCAGCCCTGTGGCTTTGCCAAGTATTGAAAATGTCTGCTTTTCTTTATTAAAAAAAGTAGTGAGAGAATAACACTGAGGTTTAAGGTGCTGCTTCAGATATACTTGATTATGTACAAAATAAAACATCAGAAACTAAATATTTATCTCAGTAGCCCTAATTCAGGAAAAATAATAATCACCATCAAAACAAAAACAAAGGAAACCACTACTATATACAAGTATTCCCTAGGCTAAAGCGAACCCAGACAGGCTTTGAGGGAGGTTTACTGCGTGCTCGCAGGGAACTGGGTGGTCCATAGATACTCAAAACACAAACCCCACTATCCACAGCCCAACACTGACTACTGGGATCCCTCCTCAACACCTGAATTCTGCTTGTGTTTACTCAGGACTAGTGACTACAGGTACAGACAGTAAGAGCTGGAGAGGAAATTGTCTTTATAAAAGCACCTGAACATCAGGAGCTGGGGAATGCACCGGTATGGAGAAATCTGAAAGGAGGCTGTCTTGGGATTTTGCAGACACGTGTGCATTGCATGTGAGAAAATTCCTCCCTTTTCCCCCCAGTTTCTTGTTTTGCTGAGAGAAGCCCAAAAACAGGACCACAGGCTGGTGGCCACAGAAGATGATAAAAGCCCCACACTTTCTTGCTTGCCCACACTGATTATAGCTCATTGATTCCAGGCATCCCAAGTCTTTGCGGTGGGAGCAGAGCAGACAGTGCTTTCCAATGGCAGAGGGAATATGAAACAGCCTCTGGGAACAGAGTTTCAATGCATAGCTTTTGAAGAAATGCCAGGAGAGAACCAGCTATTTTTCCATACAGAAGCCTCAATGTGTTTATCTGCAGGCTCAGACACAGAGTGAATCATGGACGCACATCCCCAGGCACCAAAGACGGGATCTTGCAGGATTTTCTGTTTGCCTGTGAAACACCAGCAGGTGAAATGTTCAAAGAGACCTTTAGGACCAGCTGGAGCTGTGAGCAGCAGATGGTTCCAGTGCTCTTTCTGGGCACACACAAGTATTTCCTGACTCTCGGGGACATCTTCCTACAGACTCTGAACTTGAAACTTGATGTGACTTTATGCATAAGAAAAGGATGGTGCTGGACAGCTGTGAGACACCCCGGGCTGAGGTGTCTTCTGTCCTGCAGGAACAGTGAATGACCCCAGACTCCACTCCCAGGCTCTTCCTTCTTCTCCACTTGTCTTGGACAAGGAATTATCTAATCCACTCCGGTGTGGTGGAATAGATAATGGATTTAATAAAACCAGGTGGATCCATAAAACCAGAATTGGGACCTCCTCCTCAAGGACACTCCAACAATATCTAGGGCAGAGCCGTGTGCTGGAGGCTCCCTAGGGTTGGGGACCAGGGACTACCTGGCTCCTGGGTATCTCTCCTAACATTTCCAGCATGGAAAAGTCCTTTTTCTCTCCCTCTGGTTTTATTTTAACTCTTCTTGCCTTCCATTTCACAATAAAGAGAACACACTGACCTTTCAGGAAATCTTTTGCTATTGCAAAAGTTTGCACTTGTCAGCCTCACTGGTCATGATATAAATCAACATCTCCAGAGCACAAGGAACCAGATGACTTTAACTTTCATTTCCTAGCAGATCCCTAGAGATTCATCTTTCCTCCATATTATTTTAACTTTGTCTTAAATGTGCAAGTTTCTATTTTTCTCCTTTTATTTTCCCCAGCTTCCAGACTATGATCGACCTTGCAGCTAAAACCAGATACTACTGCACATAGGAAAATATTTAGGAGAGTAATTGTAGCTTGCTTAGTGTATCATTAAGTACTTGTGCACCACACTGAGTAATATCCATTTTAAATATCCAATGTAGAATAAAAGCAGTAGAAAAAAGCAACACACTAAATTCAATTATAATTAATTTCTTTCATATGCAGAAATGATACAATGACTTTTTTAAAAGTTCTATGCATATTGTAATTATTTTCTAGGAATTTCCTGTTCCTGAAAATTTCCTATAGGATTAAAGAAATTTGTGCACATACTCAATGTTTATTCTGACCAACTTTTAACTTCACAATTCCATTTACAGTGAAATTATCCAGTTGCCTGCAATTCCTGCACTAGAAACTAAAGCAACAGTTGA